GCCATTTAAAACTCACTTCACACCTTGTACTGAGTTTGATGTTTACCTTCTTGGTCCCTCAGCAAGACAGGAGATTAAAAAAACCCACAATATATGGTCCAAGGTTAAAATGCCATTAAAACCAATTTTCTGAAGCCCAAGAATACCTACAAAATACTGTAGTAAATTGTATGTGTTGAGGTTTACCTCTGCTGTTATACAGCTGACGTATGGCTGGGGCATGAAGGCGATAGTGTGTTACACAAGTGCATCTCCATGAAGAGAAATAAACATTAAGAAGGCAGGAGTGAGGAATGAAAACATTCACAAACAGCAGAGGAGGGATCTGTTATGGGAAACTGATATATCTGATTTCTTCACTCACACTGTACAACTAGAACTGATGGTTTTATGAATATTCTGGAGAAGTGGAGTGGAATAGGGATAACGTGTTTCTTGAAGTAATGATGGTGTTGGATCTCTGCAACAGAGTTCATAGTATTGCAACATGCAAACATCTTGGGACAGGGCTTAGGCATGTCTAATATGTCTGTACTGTATGCAACACCAGTATTTGTCTTTTGCCTTAATTTCACGCAAGACTCCAAGGAGAAAAGACGAGCCCTGCCTATGAGTCAGTCACAGAGACTCAACTCCACAGCTCCAAGCAATGCTGAGTTTTCCAGCAATGAGATGACTGGTCAGGCCAGACTAGGTATTGAGTAGAAAATATTCCATCCAGCCCAGCAGCATTGTGCGGACTTTCATGGAGCACACTGCAACTTAAATGCACAAACTAGGATTGGTATGAGGAAAATGGCTTTATCAGAAAGAAGATGCCATGGCATGTACCACTGACTGAACTAAGTTTCTGTAGATGGTGAAGTGCGGAGCTGCCGTGCTGAGGTGGATGTGCTGCTGTTGACATAGGCACTGCTGTGAGTAGTAGGTGCTCAGATGAAGCCTACCTCCTGCACACATACGTGCACAGCCTAGCAGTTGCATCTGAGACCTGCCAGTACAACCACAGCCACCTGGACTTGAGACGCATGCTCTTGAGCACAACAGAGAGAAGCAATTTTTCTTTTAAAATATACATTTTTCACATCCCCTTAATATACGAAGATGTAGCCTGTCTTTTGCATGGCAGAAATATTTCTGTATAGCCTGTCTCATTTAAAAATAAATAATCTCTGTTATGAAAAGACTAGAAGAGTATCCATTGATTTGACATGTTCTAAAAATCTTTCCAAGCCAATTCACTGGCAACAGAATGAAAGGGCAACTCATTTCCATGGTGATGCTGACTGAATCACTCTAGAGCAGTTGAATGGATCCTGATCTGGGTGGGTGCTGTGTTTTAAGTCCAGTAACCATGCAAACAGCAAGTACTCTTCATGCTATATAGCCATAAAAAAAGCTTATTTTCATTCATGCTTAGTGTTTTTTTCTTTGCATTCTTTAGAAGCTTCAAAAGCTCTGGGTTTCACATCTAGTGGGTAGTATTATGTAAAAAAAAAAAAAAAAAAAAAAAGACACTCTCTTCCAAGAACATTTGGCTTCTCCCAAGTTCAGTTGTTGTCACATTTTGTTCTTTTGCCCAAATCTACTTTGGGAAAAAGTTACCCAGAAAAGTTTAATGAACCGAAGTCAGTTTTTCCTCTTTCAATAAAATGCCTAATCCAATACAGTGATTTTTAAGAGAAGAAAATCATGAGTCATCGTTTCCTGACATAAGAATTATTTTGCTTTTACATCAGCTTACACGTAGATATTAGAATTCCATTATAATTCTTAACATAACTTTTAAATGCTTGTTTTAAACATATGTATAGTAATCATCCTTATTTTTAAAATAAATTGTTTACAAGATCTTTTCCGTAAAATAATTTACTGGTGGAATAAGTATTTCTGTAATGAGTTACATGAACTGACTTGCTGGTTATGTTCCCTTTCACACACCTTAGAGTTAGATAACATCTTTTCTTAGTCTTTTTATTCTTAGAATGCTTTGTTTCTCATTTTGCATGAATTAGTCATTGAATGGAAATATATTTGACTACATAAAGAAATGAGCGTACTGTGGCCTACGCACATACATACATACATATAGAAGTGACCTACACTAGTAAAAGTAGTTTCACTCTTAACTAGGAACCTCCACCAGATTTTTGCTTTGGGTTTTTTTTAAAGCCTAAGTAGAAAATATTTTTTGTTTCAGTATCATTCATCTAGCAGTCTTAATGTTGACATAATTGTCAAATTAATTAGTAAGTCTGCAGTGGGTACAGTTTAAAAAACAACAGCAAAACCAACACAAAGTATCCAAATTACTGCCATTTTTGCAAAGAAATTTGATTTTTATTTCCTCCAGCTTTTGGAAGACCTTTTAATGTACATAGTCCTCTTTTAACGAGCTGAATTATCTCTAAGATGTACTGGATTTATTATTTGCCAGAGACTTGAAGTGGTGAGGAGGCAACTGTGAAAGCCTGGGAGTTCTGAAACCAGTAGCACTGACTATATAGATTGTGATGGTCAAGAAAGACAAGTCTCTCACAGGATATGGGTGCACTACCACAGGGCTGTTTCATATTGAGTTATTTCATCTCTTTGTGATTCATCCCATTATTTTTTTCTGCACACTCTTTCACTCCCACAATAACTTCGATTTGTCGAGGATAAGAGCTCTTGTTTTTGGGAAACAGAGTGGCTGATCTGCTTTCAGAATTACAGTGACCGCCTTCTTACCAAAGGTGGATCCAAAAGTTTTGGACCCTGTCCCGAACATGATGTACAAGCCCCGTGGCTGTGGACATCTTCCCAGAACTGTGTGCTGAGGTCCAGATGTAGAGCACTGCTCTGACAACAGCTACTGTTAGCTACAGCAAAGAAATGACTGTAGGATTTGGCTCTCTCACTATTCAAAATGCAGTAACATTGTTATCAGCTGATGAATTGTCCCTGAAGAAGTATTGATGGTTTTGCTTCAGATCTGCTGAAGAGCTGCTGATGTGTTTGTTGCAAAAAGGCTGTTAGACTTTAGAGGTAATTATGCTGAATTTTGTATGTTTTGAGACATTTGTGAGAGCTTTTTAACCGTGGGACTTGACCCAGTGAAATGTTAGATTTTAGAGGAGCATACTGTGTCAAAGTATATGCATGAGACATTTCTAAAATGATACAGCTTGTGTAGTGCCTAAATACACAGGTGTCTGACTTATTTGCTAAAAAATGAGTTTGGATGCAGGGTAGAATGATCAGAAACCTGGTTTTGGATATAGGCAATCCAGAAACACATAGTGGTGCAGCCCTTAGCTTGAGGCTTGCAGGATAGATAACTAGTTCTTGAATTGCTTCATTATATATTGCATGGCCTCTCTGTTAACACTTGATTTGTGTATGTAGTATCTTAGATCAGTTATTAGATTAGTATTGCTCTAAACTTTTACTGGCTAAAAAGGGCTGAAATCTGCTTTTCCATGAAAATAAGGTAACGGTAGGAATGACCACATGGTCTTCTCCATAAGATGTGTTTCCACCTTTCATGAACTGGAAAGAGCCATTCTTTCTTGGTTGTTTTTGTCTGATTTGGGTTTTTTCCTCCTTTTTTCCTTCCTATTAAGTGCAAGTTATAGTTTTGTTACAAACCTTTGAAAATCAGGTTTATGTTTAACAATAGTCTCATTAGTCTTTTAGATCTCTTGTACCTACTATTGCACACTAACTTTGGTGGAAAATAAATAGAAGTGGGTGGCAGGTTAGTGTGCTATGCCAACACAATGCTGTCTTGGATAACTAATTTTTCTAGAGAAAGTTAATACGTTTGGTGTACATCAGTAAAGCATGGAATACAGTATTATATGAAGAGTTTACTAGTTAAAATTGGGGATGATAAGGGTTTGAGGAACAGTAGGGCAGATAACAGTTGACTGTAATCAAGATGACAGTGGGCTATGCAGGAACAAGCAGGAGATTACTGGTTGCCTGCTGCTTTAACTGGTGACACTGTTACTAGGCATGTTTTGATGAAATTAGCTGATGAACTGAAGTTAAGAGAGAGCCTCAATAGAAAGAGGTTTCAGAGATTGTACCAAAACAAGCAAATGACAATGGAGACTGAAATATTAAATATTTAATGACCCAGATGGTACATCAGTCCAGATTCTCTGCTCAGGAAACAAGAAGCAACAAGCATCTCAAGCATGTGAAGGGCACAGATTGAGAAACAAGGAGCAGTCAGTATGATATGATTATGAGAAAGCAAAAGTAATCCTGAGATACACTGGGAAGATCTTCTAGCAGAGAGGAAACGCTCGTGTTTGTGAGGAGGCCTGAGGCACTGCATGGTTCTAGGTGCCCCTATTTGAGGACAGCAACTCCAAACGGGTAGCACACTGCAAGGCTGCTTGTTGCCTTGATTATTGTCTTCAGAGAAGGACAAGAGTGTCTTCTTCAGCCTGATGCTCAGTGAGCATATGATAGCATTCTGAGTTCACTGAGGGAAGGGGAGGATTCTGAAACTGAAGAGCTCATTGTTGGCATAAATGGACATAAACTGAGTAAATAGAAGCTGAAAATCTCAGAACCTCTTTGCTTAGAGGTTTTCCTGAAGTAGAACAATGAAACAGCAGGCATCAGATGGACCAAGGCCTACCCGGAGAGCAGGAAGAAGGCTTTCTGCTGGATGGGCTGAAACAAGAGTGCTTACCTGGGCTAACGAATAGTTGTGTTCCAGTCCAGCAAAAAGCCATAGCACTTTCCAAATACTGTTGTGATGTGTGAAGCCAAGATGTTGAGTATGACATGGAACCAAGGAATGGGCTACAGTCATGACCTTACAGAGGTTAATCTGAGGCTAACGTATAAGGCTGTTGTAGGAGTTTACGTGCTTATTTCCCTCTTAGCAAAATAATTTAATTTTGAAGAAGGGCTTGTGCATTCAATGTCACCACTTTGTTTTCATTCATGGTTCCATTTTCATTCTTCCTCATGTGTGTGTTGTGTTTTTTCTTTTGTAGAACAGTTCGTGTCTGGCTGAAGAGAGACAGTGGACAGTACTGGCCCAGCATATACCATGCAATGCCATGTAAGTATAAGGAGATGTTCGCTATCTACTGGATATTTGTAAAATCGGTTTTCTTGTTATGATGAAACTTCATGTTTATGACCATTTGCAAGCTTACCACTTCATATTAAATATTATTCTTGAACAATCCTCTTGGTTTCTGTGAAGCTTTACTAAGTTGCATGCTAATGCTTCTGAGAGGCATCAGGGATTACAGCAGCAAAAGGATACAGATATGCTGGCAAGGGATGAACGTTTAATGCAAACATTGATTAAAAAGTGTAGAGCTCAAAAAGTAGTCTTGCATTCTCCCATTAATGGAGTCCATAAAGCTTTGTAAGTCTCCAGTATAAATCACTCTGCCCTTCCTACTGCATGTGCTCAGTCCATTAGAGTGCAATGGTGAATGGTTTTATTTGGTAAGAACTTAATATCCTGTGTCAGCTAATATGACAGGGGAGAGGATACTGGACAGGGAAGGCAGCTCTTCCAGTGGAGAAGCAGAATCATTCTACCCTGCAATTAAACCAAATCTTCCTCATGGATCCCTCCAGTATGGTCTGCTGTATGTCTCCTCTCCCAAAGACTGTTCACACTTTAAAAGAAACTGCAGATTGATGTCCATTTTTCCAAGGGACAGTTGAAGAAATCACAGCCCTAGCTATTTGTCATAACCCATATGTTGAGTGCAGGAGTATAAGTCTTCAGGACACCATCAGCAAAGGTATGCTGATGTTCTTCAGTCAGCTTCAGATGTGCTAGGTTAGCCTGTCTTTGGAAAGCTTATGAAGCTGACCTTAAATCCACAGATTGGGGAGCATTTATCAAGTCACATCAAGGTATTCTTACTGTCTGGAGAAATAATTATTTTCAGCTAAGACAGCTAAATTTGGAAGAGATACCTGTCTCCATGATATGTAAAATATTTACTAGACATAAGTTTTAGTACCACAACAACATCAACTTGGGACTTTATAGTGGCCATAGTGTTTGACTGCCTTCTCTAAGAATGTGTTCATTTGGTAGAGAAGAGGATCTCTCTTCTTCCTTTGGTGATGGACTAACTCATAAGAATATGTCAAGCCTCAAAGGTATTTTCTGCTCAGGAGTTTGCACAAAAAGGTATTGGAAACCAGCTAATGATGTGGCAGTCTGTGAAGCTCTGTCACAATCCCTAATAGTGGCCTGAGTTCCCTCAGCAAACCTCTCATAAGAGCATTGCTTTCCCCAGTCAAACTGTTAAGAAATGGCAATTCTAGCAGTTTGGCATTAATACTTCTATTTTTCCATGTGGTGTTTTTGCATACATTTGCATTTTTAAATCTTAGTTCCTCCTCTGGTCTCAGCAAGGCTGCTTTATTGCCAGTAATAACAACAGCCTCACTGGAAATGATGGAGTAGATCCAGATCCACTAAAAGGGGACTATTTTAAAGTTCGTTCATAAATTTGAACACCTGACACAGCTCCTTTGCTTGGAAGGCTGGTAAATTTTTGAGCCATGGGTTATTAAAATTGTGCTGTGATATTCACCAATTTCAAGGGTGATCTGGTATAATTAATGCCTGGAGCAATGCCAGTTACATTGTTACCAGCCATGGCATTAAGCTTGGAAATCATAGGAAGGGCTCTGAGTCAGCCTCTGCACAAGTCTGCACTGGACTGGAAATGATAGTTTTGTCTGTTTCTGTGTGGATCACCTTTTTGATGGTCCTCTGGTTTAGGTTCATACTGAGTTTTGTTGTTTAGGGAACAACAACTGCCCAGAGGTTCTCTGTGTAAAAATGTAACAGGCACAATGGTGCCTTTGTGCTGCTTAGCAAGCTGTGCGTGCAGGTCCCACCTACAGATACCCTGTTAGCATGACTTGTGACTTAGATGGTGCATGACCTACACCATTTTATGATTTTATATCAGATAGCCTTAATAACTGATCTTGTGCCCTGGGTACTCTGGGACATGAAGAAGATGAGGAGTTGGGCTGAGCTGGCCATATGCTTTGGTCAAGCTCTATACCCAAGTGGGACCACCAGTGCATTCTGAACATGAAACCCATTAAATACCTGGAAAAAGATCAAGATTGTAGATCATCTCTTCTGAGTAGGGATACTTGCTGCTCTTTAGCAGTGGGATTTTCCCAATTAGAAAGTTTTATGCCCTGTCTATGAGTGTTTCTGTGGTTGAAAAATTCCAGACAACATGGTAACCACATTTTTGATCATCTCCTCCATGAGAAAATCCTTGATATAGAAAGAGCTGTGGGTGTTATACACACTGTTATATTGTCAGTAAGGCAAACTAAGCTGGAAACTTGGCTAATGTGTCACCTTCACTCCAGCATTGTCTCAACAACTGTATTAACAGACCTCTGATGAGTATGTTTACCCTCTTAATGGTTTAGATGTGTACCCTTGGTTACGCATATGTAACACAGATTGTAGAAATGTAACCACGGTTAGATGTGTGACTTTTGGGCAGTGTCTGTACAGGAGAAAAAAACAACCCTGTCTGTCTTATGATGGTTTCCATAGCTAACACTTTGCTTTGAACCAGAGGGTAGAAAGACTGCAAAGCATGCTCCTTCAGTCTTAAACTATGCCACTTTTAGGCACTTCAGAAAGGGGTTCCTGAAACTGCAGGTACAAAGTTTATATTTCTCTTCTACTTCTGTGAGCCCCTGATAGAGGTGACATGCTGTTGAGAGCATGAAGTATGTATTTGGGCTTTTCCTCCAGAATTCATTTTCCAAAGGCTAAAATCAGTGTGTATTTGCCCTATAGTTAAGATAAAGATTGCAGCCAGATTTCTGCATCAGGAATATCTTTACCTGTCCCCTGTAGTAGTTCAGATCAATCTTCTTCCAGTCTGAAATAGAAATCATAGCTAATACTGAAGTAAGGGGCCTTCAGAGTGCTGTTATTTTTCCTGGATGTTATTTTAAAAGGATCTTAAACATTACAGAAGCTTGGAGCAGGGAGTGTTGTGGGTTGGTTTTTTTTTTTCTTCCCCTCTTCTTAATGAGCCTAAGCGCTTAAATATCTAAATATCATCTTATTTTCACTAAAGTGTAAGCCAGTGCACTCTTGTTACAACTGGCATCACTTTAACTACATTAGCAATAGCTAGTGTGGATGCAATTTTACTGCTGACATAATGATTTTTCCAAGAGTACGTGTTACTGAAGAATTCCCTTAGGAAAATGATTTTAAGTATCTTCATACTTCTATGACTGTGTACACTCACAAGTCTTCAATTTAGAAGTTACTTTTTTTGCAATCGGCCTGTGTCAAGCAGTTGCTTGCACCTTTTATGTCTGAAGTGTTTCAGGCTATTTGGGAAAAGCATACTTCAGATAGCTAATTTACCCAAGACTTCTTGTCTGGGAGCTGCTTATTGCCTTGAGTTACTAGTAGCTCTTTCAGTGTATGCACAGTGTTTGAAAATTGATACCTAAAATATGCCCCTTCTGACATTAAGTGCCTTTAAAGGGATTTGATGTTTATTCTGCTTAGAATTGACTTTTTTTTTCCCCCCTGTCTGTTTTTTTCCTACAACTGCCTCATTCTGCTACATCCCTAGAATCCTCAATATAATAGTAAGGCATGACAATCCCAAGGGATGATTTGAGATTGTCTTTTCTGAGGAAGAGGTACGGGAAGGAGCAATTTTGTCACTGTTAGTAGCCTTAATTTGTGTTTCCTTTCTGTCTGTTTCCATGAACTGAAGTATTTTATTTGCCTTAACTCAGTTGACCCTTCCAGGAACGAAATAAATCGAGGTGCCTCCCTGGATATGGATCTGGTAGGCTTTCTGCTTGTGGTTGGTTGTCCTTTAGGAAATGTTTCAAGGGGGAGTCAATACTGAAGGTAGAACGAGTTTTGTTAAGCAGTCAGCAGATTTGCCTCTTCTTCATATAGCTTTTCTGCCGACTAAACTATCGAGGAAGATTTGCTGAGCTATGGGCTGTTTAATTCTAAGTGAGACATTACACAAATTGAGAATATGGCAGATATACAGTACTGCAAAAGAGAGCACTCCAAGCTTGTTACTAACTAAAATACTGTGAGTAGTCCCAATGGAGAGAAGAAACCAGGGGAACCCGGGGGGGGGGGGCGGGGAAAGCAGAACTAAAAGCACATCTGGCTGTATTCTATATTTATCACAAGAATATGGTGTAAAAAGCACTCATCACTGTCAAAGGAGCAAGAATGTCTGCCTCTAGATGCAGTTGGCAATTGCTGCTGAAAAATAGTTCCTGAAGGTTTTTGTTGGGACAGCAGGACTCCCAGCTGCATGCTGCTGTGTTGAACAGTAAAAACAATCCCTGCCTTCTGAATGCAACTTCACTATTTCTCAGTTAAACCAGGCGTAGCTCTTGAACTCTTGCAAGAAAATTCTAATTTTTACCCTTGATGTGAACCCTGCCAGATCCTTGAGAGACCACAGTATGACTGACTTGTCATCAATTTAAGAGTACATCCTGATGTTTATTAAAGTAGTATTGATATAATAAAATGATGGCTAGTTTTCAATACAGTCTTTTATTTTGGCCATAGTGTGTGATACTGTCATAGTGTTGTCTGTGGTGAAACTGGAATAGGGGACAATTAAGAATCACAGTCCTTATTATTGGCCTATATGTTGATTCCTACAGGTTAACTTTCTTACTGTAGGTATAGGATGGAAGCCTCTGACATAATACAGTATTTTCTTTTATTGACACTAAAGTTCAGGCAAATGTAAAAAACTAAATTATTCAGATAAGAAATCTCTCAGATTTAAACTGAAATGTCAGGTGCCTCTTGTATCAAAGCACCATCGCTGCTCTTGTATGACATGCCTGTTTTTCAGATAACTAATAAGAAAAAATGAAGTAGCTGGAGCAAGACATAGCCATTGTTCCATGTCCTAGTAGGACAGGGTTGAATGAATTGCAAGAGCACATTTTTTTTTTTTAATGCTTGTCTGTTGGAAGGGGCAAAATGCTGAACAGCATCATAAAGCATGTTAGCTAGTTTTAGGCTTTCCAGAACTTCAAGAGAATGAGAATCACATTTTGTTAACTTCATCAACATGTTCATTTTTTTCAGCTCCATGTTCATGCATGTCTTTTAACCCGGAAACCAGAAGGCTGTCCATAGGTCTAGACAATGGTACAATCTCAGTAAGTACATCCAAAGATTTTTAGTTGAAATGCTTCCCTTTTGAGAAGTATATGTGTGATGTTGTGGTGAGGGTATTTTTGCTAGTGTTTGGGAGAGAGACTTTTTACTGCTAGTGGAACTGAAGCTGTAGTGTAGAAAATGGCAGGTTATTACAAATTTCATTCCAACTGCCACAAAGAGATTGAGTGGGGTTTACAATATTTATTAGGCAACTCAACAAACAGTCTTAATTTGCATATATCTTAAAAAATAACACAGAAAAACAGCTGTTGTTTTATTAAATTTGAGTGTCTTGTTAATCATATCACACCAAAGTTTTCTGAAAGCAGCAATTAAGAGGGGAAAAATCATGTTCTGAAAGGCAGAAGGTGGATTTCAGATCCATATCTGGCTACTTTTCCAAACTTCAGGGTTCAGATTTTGTTTTCCTCTCACTTCCTTCAGAGGAGTTGCTCCTAACTGTCAGTGCTGTCGCTGAAAGACTTGGTTCAATAACATCAGAGATATGTGTGTGTGGAAAAGGAAGCAGGGTATTAAAACAAGAGCCTGTCTTTTAGAGCTGGGACAGAGGGTAGCAGTTGAGTTTAATTCATTGGGTTTGTCTTGTGCAATTATAAGTAAAGAGCTGCATCACTTTGTGAAACAGTCACGAGTCAGAGAGGTATTTTTCACCTATGCCTCATCAATAGACTCCTCTTCCAGTTTAAGATCATTTTACGATAATTTCAGATTTTTACTGCTGTTGTCTCTGCCTTACAGACTTTGTAACTGAATGAGTGTTTGCAGGTTGACGTAAGAGCAGCTGTCTGCACTAAAGCTGGGATGGTATTTGGGAAAGGATGTGTGACTCTAAGTTGTTGCCTGTGAGCTGTATCAAAGATGTGTAGGTTTTGACCTATAAAGCTATTAGCAGAGATTTTTTTTTTTGTGCTTGTAGGAGATTTCTACTTTTGTATCTAGGAGATGGGACAGCTGCCAGAGAATCCCCTGCACCTCTGAAATTCCCTCCTTCCCACTCTTTGAAATAGCTGTAATTTGCCAGTCCTACTATGCACTTTTGTTTTCACCAGGCCTTTGAGAAATGTGAAGGCGACTGTAAATAAGGCATTTAAATACTGTGGCATGATGGAAGAGATGTGTCCTTTGTCTTTGGGGCATTTTTCCTTCAAGAGTCAGAGGGTGCTTGAGTCTGAATGGAGTCAAATATTTTCCATTCTGAAACTAAAGAAGGTAAATGAAATATGCAGGTGATAAACCAACATGTCCTTTAGGTACTTACAGGTATATACTGCTATGTCTAAGGCAGTTTCTATTTGTTGCTGAGATGGGCTTTTCTTTTCCCAGTCTTCTGGATGCAAGCACATAGGAGGGGGGAAGGGCTCATCTGTTGCTTGATTTAGTCCCCTGTAGCTGCAGGCAGTGGTGTGGTAGAGGATTGTGCAGAAAACAGATTGTGCTCCACAAGCTTCCACCAGCGATGAAATGTTTCCTTCTGTAGCAAACCTAAGGCTTGTAAGAGAAGTGACAATTGTAATGTGCTACAAGAAGAAATGGATGTGGGAACAGAAGAAGAGCAAGGGTAGCCCCATATTCAAGTCCAAGCAATGTTGGGGTGTTAGAGAAAATCCCGAGGTACTTTAAAGTGGGTTACAACCACCCTCTGGAGGAAAGGATAATTTTTTCCTTCTCGGGCAGAGCTATGATTAGTTTAGCACAGGAGTATACAAACAGGGCACACTGACCACAAAATAAGAACTTACTGCAACAAGGTGACCTTAGTGCCCTTACTTTTAATCGTGTGACCCTCAAAGGGAAAGTACAGGCAGTATACTTGAGCAGCTTGAAATATTTGGGAATTTGTTAGCTGTTTCATGTTAACACTTCTGGTGACACCCAGCACCCTTGTGTACACTGGGTGCAGGACTGAAAAATGCTGAAAATCATTCTGCATCTTCACTTTGGCTGTGTTGAAGGAAAGTGCTCCAGGCAAGGGCTGTAAGCTCATGACAGCGCCACATAATCTCAACTAATCTTTTTGCAGTTCAAGGAAGTACTGCTTTTACTTTCTGATGTAAATGGGGACAACAAAGTAGAACTGTCTTTTTTCTTTTACATGAAATTTTTGTAAAATGTATGAATTTTTGTTATGAGCCTCAGAAATGTGTACGGTGCATTTTGAGCAGAATGGGCAGCAATGTTATTGTCATAGAAAGATGTTCCAGCAAGCCACCATGAAGTGAGCTTGTATAGTCACCCTTCCTTGTGAAACAGGGTAACAATTTTTGCTTATACAAAGATGAAGAGGTTGCTTTCAACCGTTTGTAACTTCTCAACATGAAGACTGCACAAACATTTGTGCAACACAGTCGACCATTTTCTTGAGCAAAATGTTGTCTAGCATCTTGCTTGAGAGCAGTGGTAAGTAAAGAAAAACAAATCTAGCATTTTCTTTACACTTTACAAACCTTTTCTGAGAAGAAATTGTATATCTGTTACTTTATGTCTTAGAGACTGCTTGAGGTCCCTTTTGGAAGCCAAAACACTTTATCATGGTCATAAATTCCTTGCTCTGAAGTGGAGAAAAACCTGCTTTAATGGGTGCAAGTCTCTCAAGTTACCACAAGAAGAAACAGGAAAGGTCTGTGACTTGCAATAGATAAGAGACTTCCACAGCCAAGATGAGACTCCTTACCTAATTTCATCCACCTGAAAGTTAGTTTCCTAGTTAACCTTTAAGTTCTGCATCCAGTAGAGGAGAGGTGAATTGCCTTCGGAGAAACCCATGTTGCTTACTTTAGAAACTGGTTTAGAATGGCATAAATCTCTCTCCCCATTTTGGGGGAGATTTAAATGGGATTTAGGTTTTAGGTAGCTGAAACTTAACTAAATTTATCTTTTGTGCTGACCATGCTTGTGTCTAGATGAAGTTGTTACACACTTCAAGTAGGACTACAAGGATGACAGGGCTCCGGAACAAACCCTTCAGATTCTTCCTTGGGGATGGTACTTATTAAGGCAAATTTATCTTTCACATCAACTGATCTTGCAGATTTCTACAAGTTTGGCCATAAACAGCACTTTGAATACCTAAAACTGAGTCAGGGTCTGCCTGCTGATGTCTGCCTTTCCCCTCTGCCACTGTGGGAAGTTTATGATTTTTTCCTTCAAGAAAACTACATGATAGTTTCTGTTTTCTCCTAGTTGTGCTTTATAAAGTGAAAACACTGTAATCATTGTATAGAGCTTTCTTTGCAGCAGACATAGATGTAGGGTCTGACAGTAGATTTAAGAGTCTTCATTCTCTTCCATTTCTGAAGTGGCTTTGTTGTTCTCTAGAAGACATGAGAGTGCTGTCAACCACTTGTGTTAACAGGATGAAGTCAAGCCTTTAAGGAGATTCACAGTGTGCTGTCAAAATGACATCGTCTATCACAGTACAGACTGAGAACTAGGTTGTGAGTAACACATAACTAATATATAAAGACTATTAACTCAAATTGCTTCAGTTGCCTAAGCAGAGGTCTCTAATGGGATACATCAGTTGGCATTCACCTGCAGGTCTGAAAAGACATGGATCTTTCTTAGACCTTGGGCTTTGCCAGCTGGCCCCATGGCCAAGGACTCAGAAATGGTATACACCTGAGTATGGGTTTTGTTTGCCTTAACAAGAGTCACTTGAAACAAGATGCTAATAATATTTCCAGGATGAGGATTTACAGAGTTCTTAGGCTCAAGTTTGTGGTGGCTGCATGTTTCAGTGTGAAGGAGGTGTGCTCCATGAAGGTATAGTTGAGAGTCTTGGTACAACAGTGGGCACTAGACTGGACAGTCTTTTCAGGTACTCAAGAATTCTCCTTTCTGCTTTGTGAAGATTTTCATGGTACCAAGTCATTATTGTAATAATAAGCTTACTGAAACAGCCAAGACTGATCACTAACATTTTCAGTATGGTAAAAAAGGCAGTAAAGGAGCTCCAAAAAACCCTCTGAAGAGCAAAGAGCGATCTTGCCAGAAAAAATGTTTTTAATCCTTGCAAGGAGGGGATTTGGTTTTGTCATCCTGCGTGCTTTAATATATCCCAGCTCCTCCTGTGCAAAAGGGCTCACACAGGACTCGGGAATCTTTCTCGGTTCTATTAACAAGCACTGACTGAGCTGTGTGGGTGACCCCAGCCTTTCTAGCTCATTAAGAAGAGCCAAAAAGCTGCCTAATGAGAACTGAGCTCAGCAGCTCTGAGAGGAGCAAAACATCTACATATGGAAGGATAGAAAAACAGTTTCTGCTGGTACAATGTTAAAGAGATGTAGTCAGTGTTTTTGTAGTGCAAATGACACAATGTATGTGCAATAGGGCATGAATTTCTTGAGCAAGGTGCCCTGTGCTAAAATACGTGTCTATTGACGCAACTAATACACGTGGCCTTGAGAGAGAAGGGGGAATGAGCGCAATGGAAGATAGTGTAAAGGGAAGCAGGGAGTAAAATACTTGGAGAAAGATTAGAAAATGCATAACAAGAAAATGCATAACAAATTATCATATGCTTTCAAAGAAGAAAATGAGAAGCAATAAGTTTTCAGGGGAAAAAAAAAAACTGTATTCAGGTTAATTGGAACTGTGTTTATTTTATACTGTATTTGTTTATCCCTTTGGATGTGGTGGTATATTAATAGTACATAGCTGTGGTCTGCATTAAAGCTTACAGAGCTAATCAATACTTGGGTAAACCTTAGAAACTGCCATTATGTTTGATTCACTGTATTACAATGGAGAGACTCAAAAGGCTTTTCAGTCTTCCACTGAAACTGTGGGACTGTTCAAATCATGAAACAGAACGGCCACATCAAATTTATCACGGAAAAAATGCAAAGAAAAATGAGAACGCAAAACATGCTCTTCATTCCACCCAAAGTCAGCAGCAGCTGTGTGCCACCACAGTCAAAGCTGGGGATAGCCAAATTGGTGGGAAAGGCAGACATATTCTCCTACCGTGTGTTGTAGCCATTGAAGGCATTTCTTTTTAGATAATGACAGCAGATAGTTAACGTTCATAGCAAAGGCCCTTGCTTCAAGTAGGCTTTGTAGTAAAGCATTTCATGCGGTGGTTTAGTATTCTTCAGGCAGTGGTTAATGAAAACCACTTCCCCTGTAAGTAACTAGGGAAGTATAGCAGATTTCTAATGTTCTGTGGTTTATAGAGTTAAGGTGGCCCTGGTATGCCCAGCTGACTTAAAATTGATTTGTTACTGCTGCTTAAATAACACCCCCACTGTAATGCTGAGATACCAGTGGAAAGCTAATGGTGGAGCAGATTAAGGAAAGGAAGACGAAGTAGATCAATTCAAGAGAGCATATTTATAACTAATTTATGAACAGAAACCTAGTAACAGCAAAATACATAGCTGCCTCAAATCACTCACAGTTGTTTTCCTGGAAGCTGGGTTCTGTTCCACAGATGTAGCCTCTCCATGGTGGTGCCAAGCAGTAGATATGATGTGTCAGAGTAATCTTGGTGCTGGAAAACTGTGCATATTACCTACAGTGACCCTGCAGAAAATGTCGAGTGACTTTTCTTTTAATTTTGGTTTGGAAACTGTGGATAAATACCAACTTTTTGGTGGTTAGAATGTCTCTTCATGCTCATTTGCACTAAACATTTGGTTTGCCTTAAATATATTCTGTAGGCTACTGAAGTCCAGTCTTCTCTACTGTTGCGTAGTGCTTTTTGCAGTGCTTATACATGAACATTTCACAACTGTATGCTTTAAAATTTATGTTATCTTGTGTTTGTAACATATTTTTTTTTCCACCTTATTTCAGATTAAATGAGTTAGATTTTACTTCTTCGGTCACCTGGCTAGATTAGCTCAGGGAGTTTCTGTGTAGTTTGCTATAAATTATTAATATGGTGTGGTTTTACACTCCTTGTTTTTTCTTTATTTCTCTGAGTACATGGTATACATGTGTAGATACTTGACAGCAGCCTGAAAGCTAATTCTCTTGAAAGACATCAGTTCTATGATCTACTTTTAGCCTGTTCCTGGGCTGCAGTTGCCCTTTTGCTAGTCTGGCAACGTTGTCTGTAACACTTAAGTTTCTTTGGCATTTCATAGAATCATAGAATGGTTTGAGTTAGAAGGGACATTGAAGATCAACCAGTTCCACCCCCCGTTGCCGTGGGCAGGGACACCTTCCACTAGAGCAGGTTGCTGAAAGCCATATCCAATCTGGCCTTGAACACTGCCAGGGAGGGGACAGCCACAACTTCTCTGGGCAACTTGTGCCAGTGTCTCACCACCCTCACAGAGAAGAATTTCTTCCTTCTATCTAATCTGAATCTACCCTCTTTCAGTTTAAAGCAGTTACCCCTCATCCTATCACTACACTCCCTGATAAAGAGCGCCTCCCCATCTTTCCTGTAGCCCCGTTTAAGTACTGGAAGGCTGCTGTAAGGTCTCCCAGGAGCCTTCTCTTCTCCAGGCTGAACAACCCCAACTCTCTCAACCTGTCCTCATAAGGGAGGTGCTCCAGCCCCCTGATCATCTTCGTGGACCTCCTCTGGACCTGCTCGAGTAGGTCCATGTCTTTTTTATGTTGGGGGCCCCAGAGCTGGACACAGCACTGCAGGTGGGGTCTCCCAAGTGCGGAGGGAGAGAATTACCTCTCTCGACCTGCTGGTCACACTTCTCTTGACGCAGTGCAGGATATGGTTGCCTTTCTTCCTGCAGTGATGCCACAGAGCCTACCCTTCTCATGAGTGTTTTCTCTAGAGAGATGTTGCAGGGCTTTTGTTGTAGCCATTCTGTTTACCCAGCTTTGAGCAGGTCTGTTTTTCAAAAAAGTGGCAGAGACACCCAGGTGCTCAGTCAGTTTAACCACATAGGGTTATTCCAGGAGCCGAGGCTGCCGTGCAGACTCTTAGCTGCTGTTTTCATCATTTCCTTGTGCAAAAGCCATATTGATGGTTAAACAGCAGCACCAAGGCAGCAGGACTGCAGAACCAGTCCCCATAGGTGTGATCTTCCCTGGCTGCAGGAGCAAGTCCTGCTGCTCACACCACACACTTTCCCCAGGCAGCCACAGCCTGTGCTAAACTCTCCATCCCACAAACTGCTTGATAGCCACAGCAAAGCAGCAGCAAAGAAAGAACGTGTCCTTTTGAGACAGCAGAATAAATATTAACCAATAGTGGGATAAAATCAAGGGGGGGAAAAGTCTGTGTTTCTGTTAGTCTGAAGCACTGAGACTTCTGAACAGGAAATTTAAATGTGTTCACATCATGGTTTATTAGTACCTAGTTTGGATTGAACAACTTTAAGGGGCTCCTACATATTTATTGAGTCTCCTGAGTGTTCAGGTTGGGGTGTAGTGTATGCAGACATATGGATACATGTGTATGTATACACACATCCATGTGTGTGTGCACATAACTGTGTACACATGCAGGTTTATGCCCAGGCAGTCCTGAGCAATAAGGGTTTGTTACATGCCAGATCTCCGGTCTCATTTTGTGATAACTCGGCTCATAGCCAACAATTTATGTCAGCTTTTTTGTCTTTTTTTAATAGCTCTCTTCTCTGCCATTCTTTTCACAAGTACTCTTGGTGTTGTTTCTTAGGCAGCTTTAAAAAGTGAAATAATTTATTTTTTTAGATGGAGGTACTCAAAATTAGCAAAAGTAGACAGGGCTGTGGTTGCAAACGAGGGAGAGCTTACCTTGGTAAGGAATTCAAATGAAAACACTCAAAACACTTTACATCTCTAAGCACTGTTTCTTTTGTTTTTCCTTTCTCCTCCCTCAGGAATTCATTTTATCAGAAGATTACAACAAGATGACACTAGTGAAAAGTTACCAGGGTAAGAATCATGATCTGTGTTAATTGGTTTCTATTTTCATTAGTTTTTGTTAATGTTCTCTTAAGGAATGTGAATGGAGAGAAGTTTCCTTTACAGTGATTGATTTTTTTTTATTTTTTTTTAACTGATGTAAATGATGGTTCTGTCAATAGATCAATAATGTGCTATGTTCTGAGATTGCAAGACTTTAAAAGAGCTGTTTCATGTTCTGTTTTCCTTTTTTAAATGTTCCTTTGGAATATTACTGTAGACACCAAACTATCCAAAATCCAGACCACGTTTGGGAAGAGTAGTATTAATTTTTAATCTTCAGTTTCTTTTAGAAACTAAACAATCTTCTAGCACTGAGGCGTTTAGGACTGTAGCTTTTGGGGTTAGTCTGGTTATATTTCAATAACTGCTGGCTCCAGTAATCTCAAGATTATCAGTGAATACCTGTCATAGTAAAAGGTCAAGAAATGCTAATCCATACCTTTTGTAATTATATTCTGATATACTAATGTGATGTTTTGAGAAACCTAGCTATTTATCCCTGTCAAACCTTTAAAGGACATTCCACTTGGGACAGGTATTCTTACGTAAGTGACAAATACATGAAAAAATTTATTCTTATATGTCTTTTGCTGTCAGACTAAGAGGTTATATGGTATTATATGCTAAGCATTATGTTTCTGTGTAGGAGCCTCTGGCATGTTGGCCTGAGATTTCTCACATATTAAAATATGTATTTACTCATATATTTTGAGGTTATACCTTGAAATGTTGAGAGAATAATATGAATCTCTAAATTAAGGCTCTGAGGAATAACTCTGTAGCATTTAGATTTCAAAGTATGAAGAGAATCTTGATTTTTTGCAGAGCATGGCTAACGTGCATTGGCTTTTGAGTGGTTTACTTCAGCACTTTCATGAATGCCTGGTGTGTTGTAAAATTAAGTTAGAATGCCTGCATTTTTTCTTAGCTTGTAAAAACTGAAGAAAAATATCCAGTGATGATAAAATATGTATGTGAATCTTAAATAAGATTTCTGCAGTCTGACTCTGTAAGTCTTTGGTATACGAATTTGCAATTACAGAATCACAGATTCATCTAGGTTGGAAAGGACCTTGAAGGTCATCTAGTTCAACTGTTAACCTAGCAATGACAGTTCCCAACTACACCAGATCCTTCAGCGCTATGTCAACCTGACTCTTAAACACCTCCAGGGATGGGGACTCCACCACCGCCCTGGGCAGCCCATTCCATCGCCTAACAACCCCTTCTGGAAAGAAATGCTTCCTAATACCCAGTCTAAACCTTCCCTGGTGCAACTTGAGGCCATTCCCTCTTGTCCTATCGCTTATTACTTGGTTACAAGAGACTCATCCCCAGTTGTCTGCACCCTCCTTTCAGGGAGCTGTAGAGGGCGATGAGGTCTCCCCTCAGCCTCCTCTTCTCCAGACTAAACACCCCCAGTTCCCTCAGCCGCTCCCCGTATGACTTGTGCTCCAGAACCTTCAACAGCTTCGTTGCCCTTCTTTGGACACACTCGAGTAATTCCATGTCCTTTTTGTATGAGGGGCCCAAAACTGAACACAAAATTTGCTTCATAATCACCAAAGTTTGACACACCTATGTTTCATATTTAAGGTTTGTTGCACTGGATAGTCCTACTGACTCATCTGTAGCCCATTTTATTACCTCATCCATTTGTGTGCTTGGGTTCAATCTTGCATGCTAATCACAGCCTAGGAAGGGTAAAATGAAGTCTTTTCCTCTGCATGTGCAGAACAACATATGCATGAGACCACTTTCTTGATGAATTCTTCAAGCAAAAGTCTGAAAATTTTGCAAAGGGGAAATGTCTATCTTGGCAGTATGGCAGAATAGGCTGTTGGAAAGGAATATGCCACAGAAAACCCCCATGTTTATATGGAGTTCAGATGGCATCCCCCATATGTTGGACAACAAAGGACTATAATGAGGATCCATTAACATCAGTAGAGAGGCAGTACTACTGACCACAGTCCCAAACAGAATTGCTTCTTTCCTAGACTGCCTGTCTCAGTGTGGGAAGGGGTTTTGATCAGTTTTGATCATTTTGTGCCAGTACTCTCAGATAATGTTAAAAGATTTTATCTGAAGGCTATGGACTTATTTTAGAGTAAGAGTAGCAATACTTGTGCCTAGAATAGGCATAATTTCAGTTCTAGCCCAAACCACAGCAATTGCTGATGGTGGATGGTGTCTGACTTTAGGTGCTTAAACCAGTCCATGTGATGCCCACTGATGCTGTGTCCCTCAGGGAAATGGAGCTCCTGCCCTGTTTTGCTCCCTTGCTTCCAGAGTTTGTTTTTTTCCTTGTTTAAGCTGATGAAAACTGTATTCCCTTAATTTAAAAAATAATGGCAGTGTGCAAGTGGCCTAGTTTTGGGCGTGGAAAGAAAGGGTGGTGATTCCAGGCTGCTGGGATCCCCCAAATTCGTGTGTGTGGGTGTCTGTATAGTAATCCTCTCTGTGCAAGGGTTAAAGAAGCATTAGGGCTGGTGTTCTGCTTTCTGCACATTGGCAACTGCAAGGGCAAAAGTTTGTTTTCCCCTCAGGTACTGTTGGATATGCTTTTTTTCTCCCCCCACTGCTATCTTAGGAAAGCCAGACTGCTGCTAGTGCTGCAACTGGAGATGACAACCAGACTGGGGGAAAGACAGGTCCCAAATCATTGTTACAGGAGTGACAAGACACAGTGAAGGGCCATTCAGTTTTGGTAGGAAGTTTTCCCTGGAACAACTGTAACACAGCTAGGCAGGACATGGAGATGGAGAGCTTGTGTATAAAGATATGCTCTGTCCAGCTTACCAGCAGTGCTGTCAACCCACACTGAGCTCACAAACCCTTCTGTACCATTTCTCTGTCAAGACCAGAAATGACATGACACTGAGTAGGTTACAGCAACCCAGGGTCAATCTCGGGTTGTCTCGGCTTCATTGGAAAGTCGCAAGGGGCAACTGCATTGAGCAGGGTTTTGATGGTGCAAGGAAGGAAAACAAAACAGAGATTCCTCACTGTTTGTAGTGCATCGATGTCCTGAGGCTGTCTGCTGCTCTGCAGCACAGTGCCTCCCCACCCCACCCCCATCCATAGAGACATACTCCCTGATTTTCTGCTCTTCATGCCGCATGTTGGTGGGGGAGTGGAGCACCCCCTCCACCAGTACCCTAGGCTTGGCTGGACCTGTATGGGAGGTTTGGGGTGCTGGGGTACATCACAGAAGCAAAATGCACTGACAGCTGCTGTTAGTCACGGGTTCCTGCAGTTCCATCAGATCACGCAGCTGTAGGGCAATTCCCTGCTCCTCTTGTGCTGCTGTGGCTTTTTCTTTACTATGACCACATCACCCTCCATCCCACTATCTCCATCCTGCTCTTGTTTCAGTGAGCAGCTTTGGAAGTGTTTGTTTCACTTTTTTTCTGCACACAAGTGGCGATCAAACTTTCCATGGATGAAGGACCAGCTTTTTGTTTGCTGCTTCATGACCCTGAACCTAGGGCCCAGACCTCTGCCTTGCTCCACTATCAACTTCCAACCTTCAGACATTTTGCTTCTTTAAGCCTTACATGGGTCAATTTCCTTCTAAATGACAAGTGACTTTGCATTTGTCCTCTCTTTCCCCCCTTACTTAGGTGACCCCCACTGTGCTCTTTCACTTGGTTCAGGGATTTCTGCCATCAGCATGTGTGTGGTGGCACCAGCTAATATGTGCATCACTTGCAGATAGACAACAGAGTGCTGAATTGAAATCTTTTAGGGAGGAAGGATAAAGTTACCATGCACACCCCTTCTACCTCTTGGCATGTACACATTTCTTTAATGTCTATTCCTTACTAGCCAGAAAGCGCTGCCTCACCATCCATAGGCAGTACTTCTAGCAAAAGGTACAAGCCCTGCCTTTTATAAGAGGTTTTAGGAGGAGATTGGAAGAGATTTAGGAGAGTTGGGTGGTACCAGCTATCCCCAATTCAAACAATGAGAAGCTGACACTAACAGTAGCAGTTGCCGTGTACTGAGAAAACGTTCCTTGACAGGCCTTGAACAGCCTGATCTCAGCCAGATTTGCACATCCTGTGGAAGTGTGTGGGTCTGTCTATGGCACTGCTGGTGCACACAAGCCCCTGGGACATATATACAAGCCCATCAGGTGCTTGTAGCACTATGCATCCCATCGTGGCCCTTTCTGCAGTGCACCACTCCACCAGCTAGTGCAGCTGCTCCAGCGGAGACCAACAGATAGGTAAAGACAAGCGTATTAGTCACCCATGAGGGGTCACTGAAATTCTTCCCAGAAAAATTCAGATAATTGAGAGGAGAGAGAATCTGTTTAAAAGAGCTCAAGTGACTCCTGAGTGGTCACTATCCTTCTGTCTTGATTACAAACCTGGAGTCTGAAAGTATGGGGAAGTGAGAGCCAAAATCTGAGCTCTTCTATGGACAAGGGTGAAAGCATCTGTGCACAGTTCATTTCTGACACTGTAAACTGGTCTAGCTGTCAGTCACACTTAACGGCAACTTGTGTCAATGCATCTATTGACTTTTCTCCTCAGGGAATCTGGGTCTAAAAAGCATTGTGAATGAGGGGCAGATGTTGGCTTGTGCAAGCCTCCTATTCTTTGCTACAACTAGCTCCCTCTCATAGGGTTTGAACACAGCTCTCATCTGTGCTGTATATTTGTATAGGTCAGGCAGCAATCTTCCCATACTGTTCTGAGGAATTTCTCTGCATTTCAAATGGAGGTTTCAGGCTGGTTTTTAAGCTTCCAAAGATATTTCATCTTTCCAGTGTGTCAGCTTTTATACAAACAAATACAAGCAGCCTGCTTTGTGCAACACATGTTGCCCAGTCTCAGAACAGTAATAAACCAGTAGGGCTGTGGATTGAGGAGTATGACATTTGCTGGTAAATTACAGCTGGGAATAATTTTGCATGTCTTTCCAGCCACTTGTTTTATTAAAAAGTTGGCTCAATCAGCACTTCACGACCAAGCCCACTGGTCATTCATACAAAAACCCGTCTGTACAAGCCTGGGTTCCCTTGTTTTAATGAAAAGCTTTTGATGGTTTTATTTAGGTAGCAGTAGAAATTTATTCCTTCAGCTGTTTTATTCATCTTGCCCAGCTGTGATCTTTTTTTTTTTTTTTAATTTTATTTTATTCCAATTTCCTTTTTAGCTGATTTACATGCAAAGCTAAAACTTCCCTTTGGTGCAGTGTTGTGCTTGTGCTGTAACTCATCGTTCTGCTGAGGTACCACAATCTGCAGCCCAGATTCACCAGATCTCACAGCGGGAGGAGCAGCAGTGTAGGCATCTGCACTGCTGTCATAAAACCAGCTCAAAAGAGGTTTAAGTAGAGCCCAGAGTCCTTTCCACAATGGCAGCTTTGTTGGTGAGGATACAATAATGGAAGGAAGACTTGTGCTGCTGTAGAAGATAAATGGCTGCAATAGGCATGGAAGGAATTAAGTCTTGCTTCTGCTCTTTCTCATGCAAACACTGAACATGCAGAGCAGGGACCTTACAAGCTTGCATGGTAGCTCAGGTCAATGGGGTTATTAAACACCAGCTGCTTCTGTGGGGAAGGGTGAGTGGGTGAATAGGGAGTGGAAGAGCTGGGTATTGCAGTGGTCTTCTGCCCCAGTGTTCTTCTTTGCAGTGTGATTATATGTCTGTCTGCTTAATTTTCAGCTCATCAAAGCAGGGTCATAATGATTCTGTTTGTCCTGGAGATGGAGTGGGTGTTGAGCACCGGACAAGACAAACACTTCACGTGGCACTGTTCGGAGAGCGGGCAGCGGCTGGGAGGGTACCGCACCAGCGCAGGCGCCTGTGGCCTGCAGTATCCTTTGCTGAGCTCTCAGTTTTATTTCTGCTCTTTGGCACTCAAACAGACCTTTTAGTTTATTTTTCTAGTTGTCTCCAGATTTTGTGCCCTGTGTAGGTTCAGTGCTTTGTGAAACTGTTATTTAAAGCCAATTTTAAAAACTGTCTGTTCTCCTTGCTTTGTCTCCTTAATGTGCAGTGGCATATTTAGGTCTAAGCATTTTTGAGCAAAACAATGGGTGATCTGCAACCTGTTGTGATCTGCTATTGTAATAAATACGGACAGGGCCTTCATTTAAACATGCAGCGCATGCTTTCTTTTAAGAATTAATGGTAGCAAAGTAGGTCAGTGATCAGGTCAGTAGTGTGCTTGTGTGTATGCATGGTAAAAATTAAATGACTTAAAAGTAATGAATACTTGTCCTTCACTCTGGAACAGCCCACTATGTATTGGGAATTTGGGTTAACTAAAGAGTAAATGGCTCCAGAAATGGCACTCAAGTGGCTTATTCACCTACAGCGGCTCCAGCTGCCTGATAATAAAAGAAATATTAATTCAGCTTCATTGCAAATGAAAAGGGAAGTGGAAAAGTATGAGCTCTTAGGCTGAAACCAAGGGTTAGCATAAACGGACTTTTTAGTGCCTCATAGTGTACGTGGTATAGATGGTGTGTGTTTTGCTAGTTCCATGGGCGGTGAGACTGACTCAAAATTACTATCTGAACATGGACTTGCTTTATATCATCTGGTCATTCAGCCAATCTAAATGGCATAAATACTAAACTTAATTTTTAATTAAATGATTGATAAATACTTTTGGAAGCGTGATGCAGGAATTTTCCCCATATTTCCTAAATCTCTCTAGAAAACAGATTGGTTTAAGTGATTCAAAATTTGGAGGACACTTTAATTTGGGTCATCAGATCATGCTGGTAGAGGGCAGGGGAAGGGAGAATTATTCACAAATATTCCAAAAAGCTTGGCAGAACAGGAATGTGGTTTAGGGCTTTTTTTTTCCCCAGTGTCCTGTGTGAATAAAATCAGTGCTAAGCATTTGCTCCTTTAAATATCCAATATGGATTCAGTGTGGGATTAAACTAGATGGAGAGGTCAGAATCTGTCCAGTTAGGTGGTTCCAGTAGGTGGTCGAATGGGTCCAGATTTTATTCAGTTTAGAATATGATGTGTGATGGCACCTGATGTAGCTGACACTTCCCCAAATATGATATAAGAAAATACCCTTTCATTGTATTTGTAAACTTAAATATAATGAAGAAACGATGAGGTGGGTTGACCCTGGCTGGATGCCAGCTGCCCACCAAGCTGCTCCCCCCTCTTCAACTGGACAGGAGAGAGAAAATATAACAAAAGGTTCATGGGTTGAGATAAGGACACAGGGAGACATCGCTCACCAATTACTATCAAGGCCAAACCAGACTTGACTTGGGGAAATAGTTTAATTTATTACCAATCAAATCAAAGTAGGATAATGAGAAAATAAAGCTAAATTTTAAAACACCTTCTCTCCACCCTTCCCTTCTTCCCAGGATTAACTTTACTCCTAATTTCTCTACCTCCTGCCCTCCAGCAGTGCAGGGGCACAGGGAATGGGTGTTGTAGTCAGTTCTGCAGTTATAGCTCTCATATTCTCACTCCTCTCTCTGGCTGCAATTGCCATTGCACAGGGTATTTTTTTCCCCTCCCTATATATGTTATCCCAGAGGCACTACCACTGTTGATGGACTCAGCCTTGGCCAGCAGTGGGTCTGTCTTGGACCCACCTGTAGTTGGCTCTACTGGACAGGGGGGAAGCTTCTCACAGAAGCCACTTTTGTAGCTCCACTGCTACCAAAACTTTGCCCCACAAACCCAATACAAGCAAAAATAGTTATTTTATACAATTTTGGGAAGAAGGGGAAAAGATGGACAGTGGACACCATCCAACTCTAGAACCAAGTTAGCGAGCCTGGGTAGATAACTCCTCTGTTCATGGTGAAGGGCTACTTCAAAGGTGTTTCATAACAAAAACACAAATTGTGTCCTCTGGAGAGTCTCATTTTTTCTCACTCTAGTTTACTCAGGGAGACTGAATTATTAGTATAAACAGGTATGAGCTTGATGCCTGAAAGTATGCTCTGAATACCTCCTTGAGACTGGAGTACTATTCACAAGGCTGAAGTATACTTATGTTAAAAGAATTAACAAGTCATGAAAGGAATGCAAAACTTGGATAAGCAATGTATTTTCCTCAGCATTTATCCTTCAGATTTGATGTGGAAACCCGGCACGTGTTTGTGGGTGATCATTCAGGGCAAGTGACCATACTCAAACTAGAGCAAGAGTCCTGCAGCCTTGTTACAACATTTAAGGGACACACAGGTAAGGTCTCGGGAGGAGACACAATTTTGTTCTTCATCTGTGCTCAGTGTCATGGTGGTTTGACTCTCATGTGAAACACTAGGATGGATTGTGTCAGTGCGTAGCATGGAAAAGAGATAGACCTTAAACTTTCACTACAGCTCAAGGAAATTTATTCTTTATTGGTAAGAATGAATGATCAGATTTCTGCTCAAAAAAATTCTGTGGCAGAAAATGCCACCATGAGTAGCTGCTAATTAAAGCAGTGAGACAAGAATGAGTTGTGGTAATTCTAGGGGGAAGGGATGCTTCTCAGGGAAGACCCATATTGGTAGACACTTTTGCCCAAGTGAAATAGACATGTCTTGGAGGCACTAACTGCTTGTTTCACTGCTGGGACTTGTGCCCCATCACATTTTAAAAACAGCAACCCTGGGATGTGATCCTGCCATCTAACAGAAGAAATGATGGTCATTCCTCAGCATTTTCTCTCCACATCCCTCTGATTGAACACTAATAGCTCAGACACCAGGTAACATGAGGTAGCACCAAGGTAGTTCGGTCCTCATGCTAGGTAGGATACTGTGAAGATGCCCACAATATTCCACACTTGCTTCTCTTTTGTAATCTCCTGGGAATGATGGAGATGAAAAGCTGTGTAGTCAGTCACACTATGACAATCCTGCTACCAGGCTATGCTGCTCAATCTGTGTGAGTGGTGGCAGAGACCTCTGCCCGCAGAAGGGCAGGGTGGAACTTCAGTAGGTTTTCTAGACTGTTTTCAGCTGGCAGGCTGCCATGGCCTTTGCTAGAGAAACCTGCATTTTAATCACCCTCTCTCCATATTTTTGGTTCTGTCTTTATATATATATATATATATATATATATATATATATATATATATATATGTATATATATGTAAAATTTATCTACATTCCTCTTCCACTTTCTGTAATAAAATGACTGTTGTATGCATCTCCTATTTCAGGTGGTGTCACTGCTCTCTGTTGGGACCCAATACAGCGAGTTTTATTTTCGGGCAGTTCTGATCATTCCATTATAATGTGGGATATTGGAGGAAGAAAAGGAACAGCTATTGAACTGCAAGGACATAAGTATGTTCAAAGCCATTCCTCCTGCTTTTATGGGAGAAAAGCTAAAGGCAGAAGCCACATTTGGAAACAAACAGCCCAAACGTTACAGTCTTCAAATGCCTCAAGCTTGTATGTGTGACTCCCTGTGGTCCATATACTATGGGAATAAGTTGCTTATAGTAAGTTTTTCAACGTTGGACCCACAGGCTGGTTGGAGAGTCTGCAGGAGTGGTGAAGGAAAACACAATATCTATAGTCCTAAATGTGTTATGCAGGAGCTTGCACCTTTGTTGGAAAGAGGAGGGTCCTCAAATGAGAACAACTGGAAAGGAAATTCTTGCTTTTTAGGTGTCAAGGTCTTTCCTTCCCCTAGAGGGAGCATCAGGCTTGGACAATTAGTCCCTTTTTCCTTCACTCTTAACTTTCCATACCCCTTTACCTACTGCCTGAATTCTAAGTAATGTGCTTTACCTGTAGGGGCCTTCACCATCTCCTCAGTGCAAAGAGGCTTCATCTTTGCAGGTACAGAGCTCATATTTGCATAGCATAGTAGATGCCTTTGAAGAAGAGTAAGCCTGTGCTGGTTGTTGAGTAGAGATCAGATGGCTCTGGTTGCACGCTCCTCCTAGCCTTTTAACACTGGCAATACAACAAGTTTGTTTCAGTGTATTGGGAGTGCATATATGCAGGATTTGCGTGCCAGGCTCAGGTCTGGAGAGGCAAAATCCCGTGGTGGTTTTGGTCTAACAGTTTCTTACATATTCATACTTTTTTTTTTTTTTTTTTTTTTTTGAGTGATGTTGCACTCTGCTGAGTGATTTGGAAGCCACTGGGATTTCAGAGCACTGCAGAGCTCTTGCTGAAATTCCCAGATGACCCATGTACCCTACCAGTAGTGCTTGCTAATGCACCACTGCTAGATTTCTTGCTCTGGAAATTAGGTCTCCTAATACGAAGTGAGCTTCTGGATCTTAATCTGTGGCATGGCTGTTGGCTGGCACTGTACAGCATAGAGATCTGGTCCTAAGGGACTTAAGAAACATTTTAATTGATGACGCTACTGGTGTTTGCAGCGGGTGCTGTGAAGGCAGGGTGTGTTCTACCAAACTGTCACGTGAACATGTTCGCCTCTGGACCCATATGCACAAGCAAATGCATTAGCATGAAAGTCCTTTGGATAGACCATACCAGTGGTAGTAGCAAAGTAAATAAAATTCTGTGGATTATTTCCAGTCATATGCTCAGTTACTGTCTCTTCATAATTTTGTTTTTTCCATAACAGTGTTGTATGGTATTTGTTTCCAGGGTTGTAAATAGCTTAAAATGAGGCCTGGTTTTCTTGTTTTTTATGAAGGAATGAGCACAGCTTTGGGGGTTTAAACTGAATTATTTCTCCCATGTTGCTTTTTCCTTAGAAGAAGAAGCAAAAGCACCTAAATCTTCCACCTCTACCTTGGGAAGGCTTAGGAACAATTTAATGCTTCCTATATTATTATTGAATCTCTCCATCCTTGTTAGTGCTAAAAGAAAATCTTCAGTAGTTCCTCAGTGCTTTGTTCCTAGATGTTGCAGAGATTTATGAAAACAAAGTTTTTATTGACTTTGACAGAAAGGTACCTTACCAGGGCTGCGTTTATTCATCCAGATGTGCCTTTGGAGAGGCCCAGAGCTGCAGCTCTGTCTGTTTTGGCTTCCCAGTGCAGCTGGTACCTCCCATTTCAGAGGCAGCAAAGGCAGTTATCAGAACAGGTCTTTTGTGCTTGCTGCCCGGATGAGCAATGCTCTGGTTCTGGTGCCAGCTGGACAGCGAAGACCTGATTTTCATTCAATGGATGCCATGCACAGTGAGGGGGGAGGGAAACATATGGGCAAACAAGTGGTCTGTATTGCTTTATTGTATATTCTATGCTTACTTGTGTACTAGCCATAGATGGTTGATTAGTAACTCTCTTGTTTCCCTTTCAGTGATAAAGTTCAGTCTCTCTCCTATGCTCACCACACTCGGCAGCTCATCTCCTGTGGTGCAGATGGTGGAATCGTTGTCTGGAACATGGATGTGGAGAGGCAGGAGGTAGATACTCAGGTTCTTGTTGGTTTGGTCTGAAACAGTCTTGGGAAGAAGAGTCCTTTCTAAAATGTGCACCTTTCAACCTGAACAAGATCATTCCAGGCTTTAAAAATATTTTTTGACATGCTCCAGTTATTATACAACAATTGTGCTGTGCCTTTGATAATATGGTACAGGGAAAATTGGCTGGCAGAAACTGTGTATGAAGTATGCTGCTAAATGGCTCTTACCCTTTACATTACTGCTCCAAAAGACATCCTCTAAGGAGGGTATTGTGAAATGCCATGCTTTGTTTTTCAGCACATCGTGAGTAATTTTATCATTTCAGAGGTAAATGGATGGATTGGTAATTATTAGGGGGTTTTAAGAAAACCAAACAAGAAAGCTCTTTGTCATCTCTGGAAACCTACAGCCCAGGGGTTTTTTCTGGTTCTTGCTAAAAAGACATTTAACAAGGGCTTCAATCTCACCAGCTACTTGGTCTTGCTTCGTCCCTCTGGTATAACCACAGAGAAGCGGGGTAAACGATGTCTTTGCCAATCCAGACAGTAAGATTTCACCCACACACTCCTAATTGCTTTTATGCTGTGCGGCCAACAAATGTAAGTGGGTGCAAAAACGCACCCCAGGTCTTTGGCGCTGTGGGAGCAGCCTCCGCTCGGCAATTTCTGAGACCTGACTCAGAGAGGGGGAGCGAGCACTGTGCTGAGTGAGTCAGGCATCAGCCCTGCTCGGCCGTGTGGCAAATGCTGGTAACATGAGTCAGGGCAAACCTCTGCCCTGTTTCTGCAGTCTAGGAAGGCACACTGAGTCCCTGCGGTGGGTAGGTCTGAGCCAGGCTTTTGGCAGCAATGGGCTTTCACCAGCTTTGCTGGTTCTCAAGGGGTTTGGCCTCCCTCAGTTGTGTGTGTCTCCCTTGAGCAAGGAGGAAAGCTAAGTGGAAAATTGGATTTTAAAAAACTACCGAAATAGGCACAGGCAGGAACTGAGCTCTCTTTTTTATGTGAATTAGCATTCCAGTTGGCTCTCTTTAATTGCTAATCTAATGGCCAATTATGTCATCAGCTCCAAAAGCGAAACGAAAGCAGAGCGGCTTCCTCCTTCCCAACAGATGTTTCCTTTTTGCTGCAACTTGAACATCCAGAAATGAAAACCTTTATTTGCTGCCGTCAAAAGGCTACAGTAAGGGTTAAGGCTGTCTTCTCTCAAAACAGGCAGCAATGCTGTGAGAAGGCTGGTTTAAAAAGTGGAAGAGAAATACAATTAGCTAAATGAAGGCTTAGCACAGGTGCTAATGGGTGCACTGCTTTCTCTGACTATGGCTACATGAACTTTTTCATGTTATCACAGAATTTCACAGAATCATCTAGGTTGGAAAAGACCTTGAAGATCATCCAGTCCAACCATTGACCTCACACTGACCATTCCACACTACACCAGATCCCTCAGCGCTAAGTCGACTCTACTCTTAAACACCTCCAGGGATGGGGACTCCACCACCTCCCTGGGCAGCCCATTCCAACGCCTAACAACCCCTTCTGGAAAGAAATGCTTCCTAATATCTAGTCTAAACCTTCCCTGGCACAATATGAGGCCATTACTTCTTGTCCTATTGCTTACTACTTGGTTACAAGAGACTCATCCCCAGCTCTCTGCAACCTCCTTTCAGGGAGCTGTAGAGGGCGATGAGGTCTCCCCTCAGCCTCCTCTTCTCCAGACTAAACACCCCCAGGTCCCTCAGCCGCTCCCCGTACGACCTGTGCTCCAGACCCTGCACCAGCTCCGTTGCCCTTCTCTGGACACGCTCGAGTCATTCAATGTCCTTTTTGTAGTGAGGGGCCCAAAACTGAACACAGGAATCGAGGGGCGGCCTCACCAGTGCCGAGTACAGGGGTCAGATCCCTTCCCTGTCCCTGCTGGCCACGCTATTGCTGACACAAGCCAGGATGCCATTGGCCTTCTTGGCCCCCTGGGCACACTGCTGGCTCCTGTTCAGCTGGCTGTCAATCACCCCCCCAGGTCCCTCTCTGACTGGCAGCTCTCCAGCCACTCCTCCCCAAGCCTGTAGCCCTGCTGGGGGTTGTTGTGGCCCAAGGGCAGCCCCCGGCATTTGGCCTTATGGAAACTCCTCCAGTTGGGCTCAGCCCATGGCTCCAGCCTGTCCAGGTCTCTCTGCAGAGCCTCCCTGCCCTCGAGCAGATCAACACTCCCACCCAACTTGGGGTCATCTGCAAACTGACTGAGGGTGCACTCGATCCCCTCGTCTAGATCATCAGTAAAGATGTTAAACAGGAGTGGCCCCAAAACCGAGCCCTGGGGGACACCACTTGTGACCAGCTGCCAACTGGATTTAACTCTGTTTACCACAACTCTTTGGGCCTGGTCGTCCAGCCATTTTTTTACCCAGTGAAGGGGTAAAGTAACACAATAGGATATTCACAGTACTAAAGCACCCCCAAAATATGGACCTTTGAGATTTTAATATCAAACCTTGGTTTGGGGTCCTAGAGCATTTTCTTTTGGATTTTGGCTTTGGTATTTTTTCCCTTATCTAAGGATTTAGTCCATGTGATATGTGTTCAGTATGGACTTTGATTTTCCCACATCTCTGCGACTGCATTACAGTGAATTAAGCCATTTTAGCCACGGATTCTTTACTTTAATCTCTTTTTTAAAAAAGCTATAAGAAGACTATCTGAAAGATGCTAGAAGCTGTGTTTCTATGTGACTACGAAGTGGATACTTGTCACAAAAAATATGTCTTCTTCATCTATAATGTTCAGATGCTTAAGAGATGAAAACTTATACAAGCAGATGTAAAGGTAGACATTAAACAGAAAGACTGTTGTGGGTAGAAGAGAGAAGGATTTGCCCAAGCAGAAAGAACTGCCTTCAGATTAACTGGCAGAAGAAGCTGAACCAGGTGGTTGCTTTATTGCTGGGGATCAAAGCTATCCTGGGAGCTGAGGGTTTCCATCAGTCTTACCTTATCTTTGCCTGGCTTTTGTATTATTTTTAATTCTTACTCTCAGCTGTGTTTCTTGCCATTTTAAATTGCAGCATGTGAGAAGCCAGTGGCTCTGATAAGACAACTGCAGTTTGCTAATAGCACTTCCTCACAAAGTATTAAACATTATTTAGAGTTTATCTTCTGGAACTGGTGGGGCTGGTGGGAGTGGGTTGCAGTGGTGCCAAGGCAGTGCTGGAAGGGCTGTCCTGGTCTGGCTGGGGCTGCCTCTCTGGTGGGACAAGATAGACCTTGCTCACCTTTAGGATGAGTTCTTGTCCTGGTGGGGTGGAGAAAGGAGCAGGTCATTTGCTCAGAAGGATTGCTGCTCTTGCTAGGCCAGGTTAGGACAGACAGACTGACAGCCAGCTGCAAAGGTATCAAGAACCAAGACTCTTCCCAAGTCTCATATACCTTTGAGGGTTTCCTAAACATTGTAGGGAGATGCACTGCATGTCCCCCAGCAGCTCAGTGCAAGACAAATGTTGGGAGACCCGGATCTAGGAGAGGAGGTTGACTACCCCCTCCATGTGCTCTTCTGTCACTTCAGGCATTTTCTGAGCTCTTTCAGGGTCTGGCAAGACTTGCTCTTCCCTACAGGGCATCTGATCCATGTTTCTCTGCACAGCAAAACCTGGCTGCAGGAAATGCCTTTAATATTTTATTTCTTTTCTTTAAATCTTCTAAACCTGCTTCATCCACAGCATGAGGGCAAAGCTACACACCATGTTAGGAAATAAAAGACCTTCCTTCCATTATCTTTGTGTAAAAGCAGGGAAAAGAGCTGGTTTGGGTTTTAGGCTTGTTTGGGTGAATCTCATCTTTCTCACCTCTATGTTTGATTTGAAGCACAGATACCTCTGACAGTGGGAATGCTTCTTACAGTATTAAAGAAAAAATAAATAATAAAATAAAAAACCCCAAACATATCAGCATTTCAAATACCTTCCCCTTCCCTCTAGATGAGTGGATTGGCTATTGGAAATACAAATTGTCTGTGGTTCCCACCAGAGGCAATAGCAGATAGTAAATGCCGTACCAACGGGGCAGGACAGAATATGCTTAATTCAAGACATGGAGAGGTGGGGGAGGCTTGTTTGTTCCTGGGTGATTTTTATGGTCTTATAATCGTACTCTGCTTCATGGTTTGGCTGAGAAGTGTTCCTCCTGTGTCCTTTGAGGCTCAGAGCTGTTCCCAGGGAACAAAAGGGCATCTTGTGAAAATGGGGATTTTCAATTAAGTTTAGTTGCCACGTTACTGCCCCCCAATACATCTTTCTTGTCCTTTCTCTAGGATCCACTGGAGGCTTTTCTGTTTGTTGCTCAGTCTCACTTTGCATTTGTGTGTGTGTTGCAGACTCCAGAGTGGCTGGATAGTGACTCCTGTCAGAAATGTGACCAGCCTTTCTTCTGGAACTTCAAGCAAATGTGGGACAGTAAGAAAATAGGCCTCAGGCAGGTTTGTATGTGTCCTTTGGTGTGTTAAAGTGGTGCAATTAGGCTTTTCTCTCTAACTTTTTTCCCCTAAAACTTTGAGAATTTGCACTTTGTTTTTCCACTGAGTGCTTGATGATAGGACAGTGGGCTCCCCTCTGAGGCTTGATTTTGTCATCAGGAGGTACACTCTTGTTTTTTGACAATTTTTTTTCTTTTTTTTTCTTTTTTTTTCTTTTTTCTTTTTTTCTTTTTTTTTCTTTTTTCTTTTTTTTTTCTTTTTTCTTTTTTTTTCTTTTTTTTTTTTTTTTCTTTTTTCTTTTTTTTTTCTTTTTTTTTTTTTTTCTTCCAGCCAGTACCAACAGCAAATGCATGTAATAGTCCTTAGTCTGAGTAAATTGGTTTGGGGCCTTCTATGGCTTTAGCCATGTGGGATTTTGCTTACTGTTAGTTGAATGTGTTGTAGAAAGAAATTTGCAGCTGATTTTTTGGAGATTATGCTAGAACCAAAGCTGTTTTCAATGAGGTTGGCTAAACATCTGTAACTGCTCAGGCTGCTTTGGAAAAAGCTTATTGGTCTGCTTGGGACACGCTGCTGCGTTTTTCCTGCCCAGCAGGAGAGGGCTGCAGATCGCAGACTTTTGGGGGAGGGGCATAAAAATGCTGAAAGGGATGTTCTCATGGAGCTTGGAGAAATCAGGTGTCTGGGACAGAGCTGAGCTGCATCTCCTCTTTAGGTAACGCTCATTGCCACAGAGCCTGGCTGTCCTGTGGGCAGCAAGGCAGCCTTGCAGTCCTACACAGACAGTGCCTGAGAAAACATAAGGCCAGTAGCATCAAAACGCAGAAACACTAGTGCTTCTGGGGCTGAAAATGGCCAAAGGAGTGGACCAAGATTATTATGTGTTAGATGTTTATACTTAGAGGCTGGGATGGAACTCCAGAATGACACTGTGCTAGTGTAGCCCTATCCTACCTTGACCTGGAGATGTCTTAATGTGTCACATGCTGCTGAATGATGGTGTCATCCCCTACACCCCCAAAGTGAGACTCCCAGGGACAGGGGTAATTGTAGCTCCCAGCCCTGCAGCAGATGCCTGCCTGGTTGAGACACATTTCCTGGGCATGTAGCGAGGCTTTTTGTCCTGTCCCATCTCTAGCTGTGCTAATGAAAAGAGGACAGCTTGGAACTTCCTTATTCCACCTTCTACCCTGTTGAAAACTCCCTGTTACACTGGTCACACTCGGTGTAGAAGCCCTGACCCACAGCTACATGCACAGATGCCAACTGGGGGAGGTGGAGATGATTTACTGGGTGGTCTGTGGTGTCACTCTGGAGCATGGAAGAGACATAGAGTCCACTTAGCCTGGGTGGTCCTTTATCTGCTACTTCCCAGTGTCCATGCTAGTAATCAGCTGCTGCTTGCCCCAGTTAGTGGAGGAGGAGAAAAAAAGTAAGATCCCACCCTTGCCATTGATTCTGAAGTCCTTGGCTGTTTTCCTTCATCTTCCCTGGAAGAGTCAGCTTTCTGTTTGCTGCAGCATCAGCTGTGTCTTGCTGGAGTGAGATGGTAGAGCCAGTGAGTGACCTGAGCAGTGATTGGGGTTTGTGGCTGAAGATGTCTTTCCGTGTGTTGTCTCCTACAGCATCACTGCCGGAAGTGTGGGAAAGCCGTGTGTGGCAAATGCAGCTCCAAGCGCTCCTCCATCCCACTGATGGGGTTTGAGTTTGAAGTGAGAGTCTGCGATAGCTGTCATGAATCCATAACGGATGAAGAGTAAGTGTGGACACTGAGCCAACTTCCACTGGAGCGGGGCAAAACTCCTGCGCCTGGGAGGTCCTGGAGGGATGCAAAGCTCTGGGAGCAGGCAGCCCGGCGGGGTGGTCCCTGGGCTCTTTCAGCATGATAAGCCTCTGTGGTGCCTGCCAAACTGGGAGGGATAGAGGCTTCCACCCCTGCTCCTTTCATGCTGGAAAGGTTTTAAAGTGGAGTTTACAGAGAGGTTGCTGAATTAATGACTTACAGCAGCATTCAAATACTTATTTCCTCAATAGAGAATGTTTGGGGGCAAAATCCTGCAGTCACAGACCTTGCTGATTGTTGGATTTCTTTCTTCAGACGGGCGCCCACAGCTACTTTCCATGACAGTAAGCACAACATTGTTCACGTACACTTTGATGCCACCAGGGGATGGCTGTTGACCTCAGGGACAGACAAGGTTATTAAGGTAGGAGTGAGAAGGTTGTTCAAGCTTCTGTATTTCATTTCCCCTTCCTCTCCCACATGGTTGCAGGTATGTCCTACCTGCTTCCTTCTACCCAGATACCTCCCACGGATGGACTTCTGCCCATTAAGGACCAAGTTGGTCTTGGTCTGTCAAGTTATTGCCTGAAGGGGGTGGGACAAGTGCTCAATGTAGCTTTTCCTCTGGAAAGACAAACCATTTCAATGTGGCCAATCTCAGTTTGTGTGGCTAGGTGAAGAAATGGCTAGAATAATGAATAAGTTTATAACAAAGCTTAAGTAATTAAAAAGCAAATGCCTCACAATGCGTTAATGTGTTATGACTATGCTAATCATTCAAGTTAGCAATATAGTGTGTGGTTTTTTGGTTTCTCTTAAGGCCAGCTATGAACATGGTTCATAAGGATAAAGTGTAATGACATATAGAATGTCATTTGGTCAACTTTCACCAGTCTGACATGAGTGCTGGAAAATGAAATCAAACTTCTTCAGACTTGCTGCATCTACCTCTAACTATGTAGCCTCTCTTAAGCAAAAAAACCCAAAGTGCAAATTATTTAGAGATTACATTATATATTGTCTTATATTTTACCATTATTCACTGTGTTGTTATATTTTATTATATTAACAGTTGTGGGATATGACACCAGTAGTGTCTTGATGGTACATCAGTGGAACTTGAAACGGTGATATTTATGGAAGAAACAGATATCCTAACGCTAATCATACTGCAGAAGATAGACAACGCTGGGCTCGTACAGCAGATGAGAAAGGAACCAATGTGTTTACAATGATTTTACGTCCTCTGCTTGATCAAGGCTGAACATTTGCACGAAGACTCTTTCCACTTATTCTCAAAATATACAAGAAGGTATTTTTTTAACTAATGGTTTGTACAATCTGACTTCGGTTGTCTTGAGTTTGTTTGGAAAATCTTTGTGTGGTGGAATTTTCAGTTCTTCTATTTCACTATGTCAAGATACTTGCTGCTTTGTACAGAGGGTTCTTGGGTTGTGTTTTACCATGTGAGTTTTCAGTATCAACATACTGTATAAGGCAATCGGCTCTCCATGCAGCGAGTACCTGTTGATTTGGGATGTTTCTGTTGACCATGTTCTCTTCAATGAAGGAACTCCAGGCACGGCGTTGCATGTTCTCTGGGTGCATCACTGAGGAGCTGATGGACTATTGCAATTTCCTAAAAGGGCTCTACCATCTATTTGTCCTAGCGGACATCATCTGGAGAGCATTTTATTGGTTTATAGTAGCAAAAATCCAGCTTCCTGCCTCTTTCCTTGCTGCACAAGTTGCAAAACCAGGGGGCCAGGTTGCTTAGCAACTGATTTCTGCAAAAGCTGAGTTTTCCAGCTCAGAGCATTACAAGGAGCACACAGACCTGTTTGAGTTTGATGAGGCTGACAGGCTGATTCAAATTAAATTATTGGCAAGAAGAACTTTTGGGAGTGTGTGCATGGCAGGGGGCGAGGGGCAGATCTAAAACTGGTCTAGGTCTGAAAAGTCTGGTTTACCTCTACCTCTACCTTGTGCAGCAACATTTCAGCATTTATACCTATCTGTGTTGTTAAAGATGAATTTGATTCCTGTCTTCCGTATGGTTAGTCATATTTATTTTTTAAAATGCTGATGTTTTTTATTCATTTCCTCTATAGACCAGAAACTGATATTGCTGAACGATGTCCATTGTCCTTTTGTCATATTTTACAGTCTCTTTTAAAAATAAAAAGTATTTAAAAACCTGGATCGACCCAAATTACCTTTTTAGAAGGACGTTGTCAAGATGAATGAATTAAAAAAACCCTTTTTTCCAAAGGGATCTTCTCTGAAGAGTCAACTTTCTCTTCCTTTAATCCATTTCACTTTTTAGCAAGCTATCGCTGATGTGCTTCAAAGAAACTGGAGAAGATAACAGAACTGCAGACCAGACCTAGGGCTTTCCTGTATCTTCTATTTAAACAGAACTTGTGGTCTGTAGCTGCTGTGACAGAATGTCAGTGGTGCTCAGTCTTGACCCATTTTGGACTTTACTTTTCTGCTCTAAAGTGGGGAGGCCACAATGTTTACCACTACAGAGCACATTACTACCTAGAGAAGCCTTACATTTTTGCTTGATTGATAATGCCAAAAGCAAATGAAGCTTCTCCTTTGTTTCCACAGCAGTAATTCAGTTTTGAGGAAACAAAAATGTTAATGCAGTCCATGGCATTAATTCTAGACTGCTGAGCTGCCACAGTAAAGGGTGAGTGGACTTCTGTGTGCATGTTGCAGGACTGCTATGTATTTTCAGGGAAAATTCTCTTTTCAAACATCCTATAAGCTGTGCTTAAGCATTTTGCAGTCATTTTCTCTGAAATAATGTCACGTTGACTTTCCTGGTCATACAGCCTGTGGTTGGTTTCCCTCTAGGCAGCATTTCAAAGTGTATTTTCAAACATAATTTACACAGCACTAAAAAGATTCTTTTTCCAACTTGAATGTTAATTGTTTTCTAAGTTTTCCCACTTTCTCTCCTGGAAGCTAGGTGCTTGTTTCCTCTTGGAAGGCTTTTCATTACACCTGTGCATGTTTTCTGATGACTGAAGTGTACTTGGCTGACGAAGCTATGCAAGATGAGCAAGTTGCCTGCCAATATTTCACTTCAGCTGAAGAAGATGTATAAAACTTTGCTGGACTATGGTGTGCCACGTTACCTTGTGCTCAGGGCCTTTTGGTCAAAGACCTGACTTGCTTTGCTGTGCAGAGAGTATCTCTAACAGTGGCAGAAACATGGGAGCACCAAAGTGAACTTAAATCACCGTTGCAACAAGCCTGGGACTCCAGCATGAATTGTGCCTATACTGATGGAGCAGTGGAGTCAGCAAGCTGAGGATCTGCTCCTGGATCAAGACCTAGTCCTTTTGAACGTGTAACGATCAAACAAAGGTGAGGAACTGTCTCCACAGGAGACTAAATTTGGGAGCAAGGTGTGTTTGGACGGCTCTGCAGTAAACTTTTGGCCAGCCCCCCTTCTCTTCCAAGGAGTTGTGGTTTCAGTGTTGCTTCTGAGTGGATGTTAGGCATACAAATACGTTTTGCAAAATTTCCCTTGCTGTTCTTTCTGACTAAATTACCTGCAGGGTTTTCTGAATTTAAGATGAACATCCCCTTATTTTGCTGTCTCAGGACAAACTGGTCTTGGCTTAGAAAATTATATAAGCTTAAAGTGAAGCTGAGGGGGAAAGGGAAGTTTGTCCCTTTGTTATGACCTTAAGAGCGATAATGTAGAGATATGAAGGGAAAATAGATGTGTCTAATTCAAACAATAATTCCTTTACCTCGCAAATGAAACAAGGATTTGATGTTGAGAGAGTTAAAACACCTGCCTTCCTGTTCTGCCATGTTAAGGTAACAATCTCAGTTTCTTCTGTCTTCTAGATCTGCACAGAAAGGGATTCCTGTTGCCTGATCCTTTTCTTTCCATTTTAGTTGCTTAACAAATCTAAGCTATTTTTATAAATTGCATTATTTGGGGGGTAGGGTATATCTTTTGGTACAGATGGAAACTATGCAGCACCCCCACACGCACACCCACACACACTCAAGTGGAGCAAAGTCCCTTTCTCCCCAGGGCTGATGAAGTGCAGCAGCAGGCTTTTAGTGGTATCTCCTGCTGTGCCAAGGGGCATACAAACAATGTTGGCCTTTCTCTGCTCTTCACTTCAGAAAAATTGATTTTCATTTCTCTCTTAGATGGTGTTTCCTTGGGGGAGGAAGCAATGTTCTTCAGAGCATCTATCTGCTATTCTTGGCTTTAAAATGAACAGTATCTGTAGAACTTAGGCAGGTGATGGGGCAGGCACTGGTCACATATGCAGTGCCTGAGCAGCTGACTTGAGCCATTTGCGTTCCAGGTGGCTGAAGGAGGATCAACCTGAGCCCCAAACTTCAGTATTTTTAAGCTGAAAATACTTAAGCAAAAGGAAAAGTATCTGGGCAATTGCTTGCAACGATAGCACTGATGGTCCTTCCGTCTGCAGGAGACTAACACCATGGTTAGAGATGGTTGAAACAGAGTAGTGCATAGAGCTAAAAGTCAGCCAGTGTGATGGAGCATAGTCCCAAATGATGACATTAGCGTGCTTGACTGTCAGCTGTAGACAAGAGTGCTACTCTTCACAGTGAAGCCCAGCTGACTGCCCCACCTCATCCTCTTGAACTTGAGGCCATGACCTGAATGTCAGCACGTTGACTCTTAGCACATCAAAAGTGATAGCTGCACTTCGCCTGAGAGGGTGGCATGAGTGTCTCCAGTACTGGGAAGAGAAAGGAGGGATGCGTTCCCTCTGCAAAGGGTTGGTTGCTGATAAGAAGGTGGATGGCTGGATGCACAAAAGGATTGTGCGTGATCCAAAAAAGATGTAAGGGGAGAAAAAGGTTGCTTTATGCCTGCTGAGGAAATCACTGTTAGAGAGGAATATGCAGCCTTTTTTTCCCAACTGTGTCCAGTGCTGGGATCCCCAGTACAAGAGAGAGATGAACCTACTGGATAAAATCCAGCAAAGGACCATGAAGATGACAAAGGTACTGGAGCATCTCTCCTATGAGGAAAGGCTGAGAGAGCTGGGAGTGTTCATCCCAGAGAAAAGGCGGCTCAGGGGGGATCTCCTCAATGTATATAAATACCTGAGGGGAGGGTGCAGAGAGAATGGAGCCAGGCTCTTTCCAGTGGTGCCCAGTGTCAGGACCAGAGGCAATGGGCACAAAGCTGAAACACAGGAGATTCCCTGTGAACATCAGAAAACACTTTTCCACTGTGAGGGTGACCGAGCAGTGGAACAGGTTGCCCAGAGAGGTTGTGGAGTCTCCATCATTGAAGGTCTTCAAAAGCTGACTGGACTTGGTCCTGGGCAACTGTTTCTAGGTGTCCCTGCTTGAGCATGAGAGGTTGGACCAGAAGTCCCTGCCAACCTCAACCATTCTGTAATTCAAAGTCCGCTTAATGTCCATGTCTACTGCATGGGTTAGGAATTTTTTCTAAAATTGTTTTTAAAAAAATTAAAATATGTCTCTTTCTTTAAATCTAAAATACTAGGGGTACTAACAAATTAGCAAGTGCTACATATATATGTCCTCATTGTTCCCAGTAGGATTTGGGTAACAACTGAAATTCTGTTTTGTAGCACACAGGAAGTAGGTCTACAATGTGTGGTTTTACAGGGACATGTCCTTTCCAGGAGACCACCTTGAGCACATGGCATGTTTTCAATTAGGATTTAGGAGACTTTATTTCTAAATGTGATGATAGTATGCAACAGTAACAACAAACTTGATCCTTTTTTCAGGCTGGATTAATGTGCTAAATCCCTTCAGCATTGACCTCTTGTGTAATATTGAGGAAGAAACAGATTTTTCTCTTCAAAATTGCATGTGAAATTTGGCAGGAATTATTTGCTCCTCAGAAGAAAAAAGTGGTCCCTAGGTTGACAATAACCTGAAGTTCTGGAATTTAAGTTTGAGATTAATTCTGTATGGTCACATGTGACTTTTCCCAGTTTGGGGGATTTTTCCCTTGTGACCAGTCTTCAGCCATCACTGAAATTTTCTGTGCTTCAGGACAGCATTGTGCTGCTAAGAACAGAAAGAGGTTGAGTTCAAAGGCCTTGAAATTGGTACCATGTGGGGACATTGAACTCAAAACAAACAAAATGTAAACAAGAGAGCACAGTTTACTGGCAAAGTCTTTGCAATAAGAGATGCCAAGAGAGAATGTTATCAGCATACAAAAAGAGCCAGTAGTGTAGAAATGAATATTCATCAGAACTGTACAAAGCTGAGCCATCCCCTGTCTCAGCATTGTAAGCTGACCAGCAGCCCTGGTGTGGATCCAGAAGCCATGAGAAAAGTTGTTCTAGTGATGGGATAGCAGATTGAGTCTGTGAAGATCTGACTTCAATTTCTTGTTCTTTGGTTTAATTGCTCAATAGTATTTTTCTACCTCAAGTAGTGCTGTAAGAAATGCATTAAATGTGTAAGTACTTCAACATTAAAATGATGGGGAAGAGTCTTACACATCACTATTGATACGGTGCAGAAGATGTGTCAGACCTTATGAAGATAGAGGTTTTACCTCTCTCCAGATACTTGTTCCCTATACATTAAATAATCTGAATTTATTATAAGTTTTATCATCTTTGTACTTTGCAGGCTTCTTTACACAATTTGTTCATCCCAGTTCACTGAATTCAACACCTCTGCAGATACTAACCAAAACCAAGCATTTTATAACAGGTCAGGGCTTCCCTCAGATGTGAAAGACACATCATTAACACCTCTACTTTGTCCTCTTCCAAGAAAACTTGGTGGGGTTGTCAACACCAAGTAATCCAGAAAGTTTCAGAAAAAAAATTAGTTACATAAACTTGATTCATCTTTGTTGTTACCACTAGTTTCAAGTATGGTTTAGTGTTCCAACGGCTGAGCATTGCTTCTGACTCACTAATTGGTAAGTTAACTTCACCATATTGACCAGCATCTTGTGGGCTTCATTGTCTTTTGGCATAAGGCTTTTTTAACATAAAATTCTTCTACTGGCTTTTGTTCAAGTCAGTGTTTTCTAGGAATACTGCTCAGCAGTTTGACCATCTTTTCTGCTTAGTATAATACTTTATAGTTCTGTCCCATTATGTAAAGCAGTATCTCCAACATAATTGAATAAATTGTGCTACTTGAACCCCACTAAATTAATTTCTATCAGTTTCTGGCTATTACTTTTCCTTCTCTCTGTTGAGATTTGTAATGAGGAATTTGAGTTATTGAGTTCTAACTGGACACTCTTCTACCTGCTCTGTGAGATGGCATAAACCTGACCACTAGTGTATGGGCACACAGGGTCATTCCTTTGCCATGACAAATTCTCCCTCCGACCACCTGGCAGCAGGTGAGCAGCCAAGGGAAGCAGGATGTTTGGGCAGTGAAAGTATCGCACAATTTTCTGCATCACCCCAAGGCTCCCTGTGGATTGTGGATTCTCAACTGGAAATTAAAGGGGGAGATGCTCAAGATGATTTTTAATCATCAAGGAAAATGCCACTTCCTGGGAGCTCCCTCCCTTAAGTTTGCACCAGTGCAGCTTTTACCATTCTTCCTCTGTTTTGACAGTGTTTTTATCTGTGACATACCCCTGTCTCTGCTGGCACAGCAAAGGTTTGAGTTGTTTCTCACAGCGGCAGGCTGAAAATCTGGCCTGCTGGAGACCTTTAGCCATGCTGACACCATGTCTCTTTGTAAGGCTGTGCATCAGCTTTTGTCTTGAGAGAGAACAAGTTTCTTTTACAAGAATACATCATTTTTCCTAACGTTTATCTGATGGCTCCCTCTAGAGAGAGGAACATAAACACTGACCTACTTCACAAATTGAAGTTCTTGGATTTGGTCACTTTTGCTCCCAGAAGTGTTTTTGTTACAGTTGCTCCCCATCAGACTCCTCCCCTTTTCAATGCTTTCTTTCTCTCATTGTCTAGACCAGTGCTGCTAGGATGACTGCAGCAGTACTGAGTTTTCAAGTTGTCTTATTTGCATTTCAAAATTATCTCCTGTAATCAGTCCTGGGTCTGCCCAAACACACCCAGAACTACCTCTCCCAACAAAAGAAGAGATGTAAGCCTGATTGATAGACAAACGGGGAAATACTCTGAGCTGAGCCAAGAGAGATCTGAAGCTTCTCATCGCCAGTCAGAGTGGTAACAGCTTGTTTAAAAAGACAGTGGGTGGATGCTGACCAGCACTAATTTTAGGTATGTAGGATCTGGTGTCATGAGAAGGGGTGCTTTATTTTTGCAGGGAGTGTGAGAGCACAACACACACAGGGAATAGAAGCTCATGGGCAAAAGGAACTTGTGGATTAAACTGATTTATAGCTATCCTTCTCCACTGGGGTCAATGACCACCAGGTTAAACATTGGTTAATGAAAACTAGTACTGCTCCTACTGCTATGGCTTTAAAAAATGCTCTGTTATTCCAAAAATACAGTCAGTATTTGAATTGAAATGTCTGGCCCAGGGCCGTGTCCCACCAAATAAATTGTTTACATGGAGATTTTCAGCACTGACTTAGTCTGTCTACATTGAAGTCCACAGCAAAACTCCCCTCCTTGAGCCCAGGCAGGTCATGTTCAACATCCCACCTGAGTCTTGTTTAATGGGAAGGGGGGTCCCTGCTTGCATCTTGTTCCCAGGAAATGGAACCGTTTAAGTGTGGAGAGTTAGGACAGCACAGAAGCTGGCGGGTGTGTTGGTGAAAATGCAAGCAGTTGGTAGTTGCAATTTATTCCAAAATAGTGAGGTATATATGGGAATGCCCTGCTATTCAAAGGCAGACAACAAACAATTGTTTATACCTTTAATCAACCACAAGTTGTCTCATTTTGGGTTTTTTTTATGAAGAATAAATATGGCCTAGAAATAAAACTTATGAGAAGAGGAAATGCAGCTTACAAAATTATCTGATATCTGTTATACTGACCTCCCAAAATTTTCACCCGAGACAAAGAAATGCTTCAGGTGCCCCTGCATCACCACATTCAGTGCTCTGCTGATGGGCCGTGCCCTTCCATCAGGACATGGGGAAATGACTACATGTGGTCTGTGGTGCTACATTACTCTCTGTGCAAAATACCCAAGAGCAAAAACCTTCCAACTAGGCAACTTCACAAAATGAAGAAAAATTTGAAAACCTTCAGAATGTGAATAAACAACTGAGGTCAGAGTCATGTAAGCCTGAAAGCTGACGCAAGAAGTGTTGGGCTGAGCGTGGAAAGGGAAGGGCAGTAAGAACAGCTGCTGTGCTTGTCATTCGGCTCCTATAAACCAGGTGCGTACTGAAGTCCTCAGCATGCACTGCTTAGCAAGAATTTGCACCACCTATTTCTGGTAATCTGTCACTGGGTGCTGTTTTTTCTCTTGCCCCTAAAATTTTATAGGTGGCACTAAAGGTATTTGCTTACATGCAGGTCCAAATCATTCTGAATTGCATTAGCACAAAGCATCTTGCTGGCTTTACAGCCACATACTGCACTTGCTCTTGTGGAGAAGGGCTGAAATAAAGCATCAATGGGACCATAATACCAAAGCGTGGGAGACTCTGGACTTTGTTTCTAATTGCTGTTCTGTGTTTTAATTCTTTTTAAAATCACAAGTGCTCTTAAACCATACTATCTGGCTCTTTTTCACTGTGACCAAACTTCGATTAAAGCAGTTTTCATACCTTTGGCTTCATTTTTAAACTCTGACTAAAAAGAAAAATATAGGCTATTCAAATACACCAGTACAGAATGTTGACTAAAATATATGTGTTATATATATATATATATTGTGCACTTTTAGTTATTTTTATGAACTATTTAAATACCAGTCATTAAACTTTTCTTCCCTACTGCGGAGCTGAGAGGCAACCTGACTTAAATACTCAAGTATGCAAATGTTTATGTTAGCCTTGCAGCTACTGGTTTGAGAAATGTAGTTACTGTATGTGCTTCCAGCCAGTGCTCTTGTTTTCAGTAACTGTATTTAACAGTTTGAACTGTGTAAAATGTTAATACCAGGCTTCTAGGAAATAAACATCTGTACAAGCCTTGCTGTTGTTTTCTTTCACTGCAATGCGAGAAGTTAAGTTTCTAAAATTAAGCTATAGTTTGAATGCTGATCCAGCCTCTTCAGGAAGAGCTGTGGCAGCCTGACTTGTCTCAGCACTGCTTATCATGGGAAAACTTATTTCAGGGTCTCTCTGACAGTAAAGCTTTTATTTCCAAGGAGACTGACAATAGGCTGAAGAGAGAAGGTTTTTTTTGTAAACTGACACTTAATAGGATGTCTGAATAATGAGTAAATGCCATCAGCCAGTAGTATATCATTTGGGAAACTAAATTATGTAAAGCAGACATAACAAGTTCTCCATTGCCCAGCAGCATGGCCTTTAGCTACTAGTCACTGTAGAGAGCTCAAGAAGGCCTCTGTTTGTTATATTTGTGTCTAGGTCTTTTGTCCTACCACGCTAGTCTGCAGCCATGTGTAAAACAGCAGTGCAACTTGGTTGGGTTCTGTACGCTGCTTGCTATCAAACACACTCAGTTCAGGAGAAAATGTGTTACTGCTATTGTTATTAATAGTCTTGGCTTTGCAGTAAATCTGAAATATGTAAGACAAAATGAATCCCACCTGAATGTCTTAGTCTGAGCGGATTGTCTTCACCATCAGTAGAAAGATGTAGATGGTGTTTCTTAAACTAGATCCACTAAATCATGGTGAAAAGGGCCTGTTCTCTCTCTACTGATTTACAGTGAGAATCCCAATGAGTAATTTAAATGTCCACAGGTCAGGTAAGACAAATCCCATCCTCTGTGTCTGGACATAAACAGTTCCAGGCAAAATAACAACCCTCTCATCAGGAGGTGGATGACTCCTCTAAATCATGTGTCCCACAGTGTTCCCTTCCCCCTCTTAACCCATTAATAATGATAAAGCAATTCCCTTTTATGTTTCACAGAAATGGCAAGCACATACAGCTTAGCATGTTATTTCTTTTCATGTCTAGAGTCACACAGCCATTTCTCTGCTGGGTTCAGCCATGTCTGGGTGTGGTATGTGCTGAAACCTCCTACTTCGTGGTGGCTTGACATAAATGGGATAATATTCAGCCCTGGCTCCATAAAGTAATGTGGAAGGCATTTGGCAGTGTTCCTAAATTCTTGCTGTTTAAACATGAGGTAGCAGATCAATTCTGCATACCAGCATTGATTTACAGAAACTGAAGGCCGTGAGGAATCCTTCCATTTAAACTAAGCATGCAGTGCAAGAGCTTCTGCATTCCCAGTTACAGGCTGGAGCCCAGTCACCCTCATGCAGTGAAGGAAGCCACCAACCTGTCAAACACAGTATAAAACATTTACTACTTCTTTCCTGAAGTCAATCACAAGGGCTACTGAAGCTACACTCCTCTGCATTTCTGTGCTGAGTGTTTTAAATTATTTTGGGCAACTTCACAAAGCCTTGAGTTTTATTTTAATGCCTCCCAATTCTTCTTCCAATTCAGAGAACACAACCTTGAGACAGCAGGTGCATATTCACAATGGGAGAGACTCTTGGCAGCAGAAAAAAAATGTTGCAGGCACCACTCTGCCCCATGATGAGAACACCTGAACCCAATTTATTTTTAACAGGCCTATGGCATCCTACTTCCCTCAACAGCAGGCGCACTACAGTACTGTTAATGTGTAATTAGAAGCTTTGTGGTTACACTGTACCAGCGGTGACACTAAGATCTTGGAGAGTTGGATTTAAACTTCAGGGAGAACTTTTCCAGCACCTCCATTAGCTTCTCCTCATCCTTTGGTCAACTGTGGGTGCTTGCCAGTGTTAAGTGTGTAGGGACTGGTTGCCTGTCTGGAAGAGAAAAAGATAAAAATCCTTATGGGTACATTTAGCTACCTCTGCTAGCACAAATTTTTCTGCTAGGCTCTATACTGCCCAAATATACCTCATGGTCTTGAAGCCAGGAAACTTACTTTGTATGTATCTGTAAACAATGTTAGTTAAGCATCTCTTCTAAAACAGAAATAAAACCAATTTTGTATGTATTCTGGAACTAGAGTGACTCCTTTAGTACAATACGACTTAGACTGGGGAGCAAGACATCATTTTCAGCTCAGGACAGTGTAGATAAAGGAAGGCCTTGTTGTGGGGTTACGCATTATCCCTGTCACTAGTGCGACTCCAGTAGACAAAGACCAATAACTTGAGATTGTTGTTGCATGCAGAGGTTGCTTTTGCAGCAGGAGACAAGGTTTTTCCTTGCCTGCTACATAGTTTTTCTAAGTGCTACACAAATTCCCCATCTGGGTCTTTGTAGTTTAGATTATTTTCAATCTTAAAATGCTTTTTTCCTTAAAAATAGTTAAATTCTAAATGCCATAGAACTTAAGCTAATTGCTCAATCACCATAATAGCATGTATCCAACATAAAGATGTCTGACTAGATTTGCTCAATTTGATGCTTTGCTTGGTTTTCCATATCTCGTATTCCTCCCTCACTCTGAGTCAATAGACCTATATCACCATCCATTCTATTGGATTTTTGTCTCCAAAAACATTGTATCTAGAGCCTGTGAACCTTATGATAGTGCTCTTAGACATTTATGAAGCAACAACCATCAGAGCACTGGTGCCACACTGTTAGTCTATTACAAAGTTCAACTTCTGCAGTAGCCAGCTGAGACTGAAAGAACAAGCTGTTGCAGCACTGGGCAGCAGACTTCTCTGAAAACTATCAGGCTGCTATCAGGCTTCCCAGGGGAACAGAGATACTTGCTCTCTGAAGAGAAAATGTAACTGGCTGCATACACCACATAACCTCTGCTCATGGAAAACTGAAGAGAGAGAAACATGCAGAGGAACACTCCTTTTTCCATCACTGAATAGCAACTGCTTTCTACCTAACCATAGTCCTTCCAGTAGCCTGTGCTAACCTTTGGTAACCATGTGTGAAAGCCAAGTTTAACATCACAGAGAAGATACTTCTAGTCTTTGGAAAGCAGGACTCTCAAATGTTTTTTATTTATTTTGGCAGATGCAGAGATCATGTTCTTGCTTCCCAATTTTTTTCCTCAGGGGAAAAAAAAAAAAAAATGCTGGCTTTGGTTTGCACTCAAAGGGAACAGAATAAAAGAGGACAGAGGAAATGGAGGGAAGGTGTGACTGATTCAGAAAATGGCTGTCCTGGACCAGATGAGCAGGGTCTGTGGTAGAGTGCTCCTGCACACAAAGCCCCTTACTGAAAGGGCCTGAACAGGGCCCATACTAAGTGGTGGTATCCAAAGGGCAGTAGGAGAGAGAAATAACTGACTTCATCACTGTTTGATAAGCACAGGACACGGACACAAAACTTCTCTTGCAGTCTTAAGAGCAGTCATGACCAGACAAAAGCTCTCGGAAGTCAATAACTACAGCTAAAGAGCCAAGGCATGTTCCCTGTTTACTAAAGCTGGGGGTAGACAAAGGCCAAAGGCAAGAGCCTGGTGGAATTATGGCCTAGAGAAAGAACAAATAAGCAAAATCATTAGAACAGGAAGAAGGTGATAGGAGTATGTAAAAGACAAAGCCTGGTTCTACAAAGACGACTGACCAGCTGTGATGCGAGGTTTCTGCAGGCACCACGTTATGACATAAAAAAGGTCTGGTTAAATATCTGTCAACTAACCCTGTGTGACTGTCTGGGAGGGGACAGAAAGGACAAAGTCAATCCAACTCTGGAAAAGTCTGAACTTCCTGCTTGCTCCACCTAGGAACTCAGTGAATCAGGATTTGAGTGCCACATCCAACAAAAGTACTGAGCTTTTGTAAGCAGTTACTCTGAGCTTTGTCCTTCTCCTTCTGGACTGACCTGCATCACCATTAAGACATCTATGCTTCCTGCTGCTCCTACTAAGATTCCTGTCATTAGCCTGGGAGAAATGAAAGGCTCTGCCCTGTTTTCACATCACCTATGCTTGCAGTGCCAAAAATGCCACTGTGCTCAAGTCTCTGTCCAGCATTAGAGAAAGGGGGAATTGGCAGTTTTAACCGGCATGGAATGGTAGGAAGAGCCTGTCAAAGCAAAGCCAACCCCCAGTGCTCTGTGAGAAGGATGGTAGTTTCCCAGATCATAAAAGATGCTGTTTGACTCCTGTGACTCACCCTCCCTTGGCACAGTCCTGCATACAGCCATTTTAATTAAAAAAAAAATCCACCCTAAAGAAATGCTTTGAAGTCTCTATCAGCTACTTTAGAGGACAAAAGCAGGAACATAACAACTTAACACAGTCATTCTCTGGTTGCACAATGCTCACTTGAGCCTTATAGTCTTGGAATATTTTGAGAAATTATCCTTTGAACAAGGGTTGCTTAGTGGAGCCTTCATCCCCTTCTAGGCCAGATGGGGATTCTACAGTTCAGACAGCTTAGGGTTCTCCCCCGCTACACAGTGTAAGATGCTGCTGCCTTACCTTGGAAGAACAAGCCGCTTGGTCACTTTGTGGCTTCCCATGATACTGCCAACCATACAACAGTATCAGCTCCCTGTGTCTCTGTGCGCAGGGTATTCTTCATCTTCTGATAGAAGTCTGGGATTGATGATCTCACTGCTAGAAAGAAGAATACCAGTGGAATGGTGGTCTGCCATGCGAGACGTTTTTATTTTAAAAAAAGAGCAGCTTCAAACTGCCATTGTGAGTACAGGAGGAAAAGAAGGCATCCCAGAGTTTACAGAAGAGAACAAGTATTTCCCCATAGGTAGGAGTATGATGACTTGGGGTGGAATAGTGCTAATTGCCAGATGATCCACCAGTTGTTTGAGTCAAATTACGGGGACAAAACTAGTAGGAATTGAGAACAGGATTGGCAAGAGGTTCCTGAGCCAATTTCATTCTACTGCAAAGAATTGAGACATGGGGAAATCAGAAATACCAAAACCCAGGTATTCTAACAGGATTTTTAGCTCTTATTTCCTCACCTGTTTTAGAAAATCAGTTGCAGTATTGTATTTAGGAACTGTACAGTGAACAGTACCTAAACCAAACACATAAACATTTAAACTCTGGTTTCTTTTTATTTTGTCCAAGAGGTTGTCATGGTTTAAACCCAGCTGGCAGGCAAACACCACACAGCTGTTCGTCGACTCTCCCCCACTCCCAGCGAATGGGGGAGATAATTGAAGGGGTAAGGGTAAGGAGACTCATAGGTTGAGAGAAAAACAATTTAATAATTGAAATAAAATAATTATAATAGTAATAACAGAAAACACAAACAAGAAATGCACAATGTGACTGCTCATCACCTGCTGACCAATGCCCAGCCTGTTCTTGGCTTGTGATCCCAGAGAAGAAGCCTCAAGCCACAATCCCAGAAGCCAGCGTGAGCTTTCCAATCAACCCTTATCTATATACTGAGCATGATGTTAGATGATATGGAATACTCCATCGGCCAATTTGGGTTTGTTGTTTTGGCTATGCTCCCTCACAGCTTCTTGTGTACCTGTGCACTAGCAGGACATGAGAAGTTTAAAAGTCCTTGATTTCTTAGCAACAGCTAAAACCGTCAGTACATTATCAACATTCTTCTCATATCAGATCCCACACTGAATCCAAAACACAGCACTATTCTAGCTACTAAGAAGGAGAAAAAAAAAGTATTCGCTCTATCTGAACCAAAACAAGGACACAGGTGATGACTGAAGGTCCATCTCCTGCAGCTGTTGATTTTTGGAGGTTGGAGAGTCCTTGAACTTTAAGGTGGGATAACTATGGTTCATTAGGTTTGAAATCCACCAAGGATGTGCAAAAATAAATGTATTTTAAAGAAAAAGAATTACGAGGATTTTTAGTTGGAAAGGGCAGTTTTCAAGCATAAAATAGATGGGGAACTGCTTCTGTCATCAGAACCAAATCTGCAAAACTGCATCCCTAGAAAAAACCTAGAGATCAGATTGCTAGTCTGCACTCCAAGCTTGGGTGTTAGGGGCTGGTAACACGGCGGCATGCAACATGCATACTGGATAACTGATGCTGGCCCACCTGCTGAGACACAGTCACTGAAGAACAGCTGCAGCTCAGACAAAGAGCTGTCTGGCCAAACACACTGTTTCTCAAAGGCAGTAAATGTTTAGAAGAAGAGCAGAGGAACAGGTCTTGCAAAATGGTGTGTGCTCCATTTTCCTACATGTCCTCACAAATTCCCAATGTCTGCATGTTGGTACTTATAGAGGCAGAAGTTCTATCTGTGTATTTAACAGTCCTACTACAAATGTAACTTAAAAGTTAGCTTAAAGCATTATGGCTCTGCTGTGCATTTGTGTGGGGCTGGAACCATTTATTGTGCATTATTATTTTCCAGATATACACAGATAGCAGACACTGCAGAACAGAGCTACCAAGGGGGTACAAAACAACTTCACACACCAGTTTGAAGCCAAGAAATCACTGCACCTGTTGGAGAAATCTACCAGAGTTTCATTTATCTTTACTTTAGACTAAGCCCGATAAAAAAAAAGTAGTCAGTGTCAAGCAGATGTTACCTGGAGTGTCTGCCCAGCCAGGATGCATAACAGAGAAATGGATGTTTCTGTGAGCTTCTGCCCATTGTTCTGTCAAGACAACTCGCTGCCTCTAGGGTAGAGCAAAAAGAGCCAGACTAGCATCAAGTTCAATAGCCTGTCCACCAAGTTAGTTCCCCGGGAGATAAACTAGATCAAACATGCTGTAAATACCAGGGCATTTATGTATAGCAGAAATAGACCCTTGCTCATCCTGATTAGATTTACTGGATAATTTTGTCAGACACCACCATGGTCATTGCAATCCATATCCTGGCCACAAGCTTTCTTTTAAAGCAGTTACACTGCTTTTACTGACCACATCTACATGTAAGAACTAAGCAGGCAAAAAGGATTTGTCAGCTAAAGACAGTCTTCCCCCTTGAGACTTACATCAAGACAAATGAAAGTATAGCCATGCTCTCTGTGCAAGATGGTATGCACTTGTAAGTACACACTATCATACTACTGGAGATTATTTCCTGTGTGTCTCTGCACAGGCTGGATGAAATAGGAAAGCAACAGTGAACAACAGGCCTTTTACAAAGCAGATGGTATAAGCTGCCTAGCAAACAAGTGCTGAGCTTTGTTTTCAAAACCATGGACTGTACCTTATTTTGTGCATACACCATAGTTCCACCAAATGACCCATTTCCCAATTGCAAGTCAGATATGTTTAATTTTTGAACTAGCACGCCCCCAGAAGAGACAGTTATCTGTAATCAAATGAAAAGCAAATGAACAAAATACAAAACCAGGAACTCCCCACAATCACACTCATGCACGCCATCTGGTCTTCAGGCCATATCTGGAAGTCCCTTGGGAGCAGGATTCCTCTACATACTCTTTGCACTATGCTTGTACTCATGTGTAAAGCATACCTGGAGATGAGATGGAAGAAATAGAATTTATTTTTTAGAAAGTGATTTTCATTCAAAGTGGTGTTGCCTCCTTTAGGGAACTTTGTGCTTTCTCCTTTTGAAAAGTAATTGAGACAAAGAAAATAGCACTATTTGTATTTTGTACACTTAGCATTTATAGCAGCTAATTAGAAAACAAGAGGCTGTAATAAACTTGGGAAAATTAATTTTTTAAAATGTATGTGCTGTTCTATTTTACACCAAGATCTGTAAGGTTCTCTTATATTCCCGTATAGGTACTTTGCACTACGCTGCATGAGATAATTTGCCCCAGGGAAAGCAGAAAGGGAAGTTTCCAAAGCAAGTGTTTTACCCTGATTTCCAATGAAGAGTTGAGAGTAGCAAGCACAAGCTTTGTCTTGGAGAAGGAGGTTGTTAGCAAAATCCAAGAGGATTCTAAAGATGCTTACAGCATTATAACTAATCCTGCATTGCTAGCACAGTCAAAGAAATGCTGTCACAAACCAGAAAGTGAGAATAGTAAAACATTTTTCAACAGCATGGCAGACTCACCACTCTGGTATCAGCTTCTTTTTCCAGGAGGGGCAGCAGGGCAGTTGTCAGAACATAGGTACCTAAAAACCAGAAAAGCACCAATATTAACTTTTATTTTCAAAGCAGCTTTCTTCTCTCCCCACCCTCTATAACAACTCAAAACCCAAAGTTTCTTTATTTCTGAAACTTGATCTGAATTTAATGATGGGGGGTATTTTGCTGCTTTATCTGCAATATGCCAACTCAACTTGTAGTGGTCCACATGGCTGCATACTTAGCAAAAGGCACACCCGTTATTCAATAGACTTATACGCACTGTACGTACAGAGAAAACTGCCCACTACATTCAGCTATGACTCTGAAGGCAAAATGGCTCAGGTATGGATTTCCCTGGGGGTGAGGTGATGCCAGTGAAGAAACCCAGAATGCATTTCCCCTCCACGTATGGCATATCTATGCCAGGTCACAAACAAGAGAAGGAAATTGTGCTTCAACACATTCATGTTTCTTAGGCCCTTGCACACGCACTTAAAACTCATCCATTTTTGCCTTCTCACTGTGAAATCACTCAGAGTACGCTGACACTTTTCATGTTGCACACAAAAACTGCCTCTTAAACCCCCAGCAAGACTATTACAGAAGATAAAGAAACCTTGCAGGGAAAAATATTAATGTTGCATGCCCAAGGCTGAGATAAGATTACTTGGGGAAATGTAACTCTGTCCTTCCCCACTTTTATCACATCCATTTAGCATAGATTGGTACACACTGCACAAATATATTCCCTTACAGCTGTTACCATGACCAGCAAAGTTTGTTATTCAAAACACTGTTCAATTGCTAGTGTATTTGATTCAGACACACCTAGTGATGTTTCACCCGCTTAACTGCAACACGGAGATTTTTGTTTGTTTTTATCTCTTCAGAGATATTTTCTGTTTTTCCTCTTTAAACTGTATTTTAAATTTGTTTAATTCAAAATTATTTTAGCCCCATTTAGTCTAGTGTTTCTGCACTGAGTATACTTTCCTCTCATCTTTTCACAAATGGCTCTAGTTCAACAGTTCTGTGTCAATGATAAACATATTTTTTCCATGAGCTACCAAGGCCATGTTTTTCACTAGACATGAAGACTTCAGCATGTGTCTTTAGAACCTCTCTTCCACGCGGCAGTGAGATCACCCAGTTAAGATACAGCATGTTTATAAATATGCTACCAAAAACAAACGTGTTACATGCTTGGTGAACAAACTGTTCAGTTCCCCCGTCAGTCACAGCAGTCTTCATTTTCTCTATATAATCAGAGGGACATCCATATGCACACAATATATTTAAAACCCTGGCAAATCAAACAAAGCAAATGCACAGCAGATGAGTAAATGCAGCCTGCCTTCAGCAGAAAATGCAAGCAAAAGCAGTTGCCAGTGAATAACAAGAGTCCGTACATCTCCCCTGGTAGTGGCAGGGAGACTGAACGATGACATCATTAGGACAGGAACTACTGCTGATTGTCATGGGAGACTGCCACGATGTAAAAAAAAAAAAAATCACTTCAGTACAAGCTGAGAGCCTGGATTAAATTTTGATTTGCTATGGATTCTTTAAATGCAAAGTCACATCATGTCTTGGTTAAATTAACTGCGTCTCCTAAAGGCAGAGCTGCAATGCACCAGCTATGATAATGCTTGATTTTACTGTCCCACAGATTAAATTACAGATTTAAGGGGCTTCATGTTGATTTGTTAATTCCAAAGGGATGCAGAGATGAATGCACTAACATTGCCTTATTAACAACTAAGTTTTGTTGTTTTCCAGCAGGATGAGAGAAACGTTCAATGTCAAAAATCCTGCTTATAGCAACTACAACTTGTCAGAAGTTTATGCACTTATTTAAAACCACAAACTAACTGCAAAGCCAAAGTCTCCTCTCTTCCTCAAGTTTATTAAGAATTCAGTAAATCCCACAGAGTCAAAGCATTCCATCCTTTTACCCCCCAAAACCACTTGCTCATTTGCTTTGACACAACACAAAAAGACTAGTTTTAATCCCAGTTTCCTATGGTAAGCACTAGTATCTCAAAACACACACAGATGCAATGGATCAGGCATTAAGACTGCAGCATTTCATTTCTCCCACTACAAAATATTTCACCAACTATTACCCATTTTAAGTGTTTGAATACAAACTACTTAGTACTTTAACAAATATACTTGAATATTATACATTCTTATTTGCATGAGCTGGTCTGTCAGGCAAAACAGCCTGGACAAGAAATATATTCCAATAATAGTAGAATAGATATGCCTTATTAATAAGGTATAGTGTTGGCTGGAATACATCATCATCAATTGAAACCTCCACATAAAGGCTGGCATAAAGTTTGATAGTTGTGATCAAACAAATAGGAAGAATGCTAAGTGCAGCCAGTGTAGAGGCCTGGCACAGCCATATACCTCATGGCATGTAATTTGCCAAGCACAGCTGTATTGCAGCATGCAATAATACAGAAATTAATTTCTAACTAAAAGGGGAAGCTACAAATGAATGCACTGCCTGCCACAGTCCTTATAAAAACATGAATTGTATTAACATTATAAAACAAAAAGGGAAAATCTTATTCTTTTTAGTAAAAAAAAAAAATCTGCAAGGAAAACCAAGACTGATTTGATAGAAAAAACTACAGTCCCCTCTCCCTGCACTTAAGGAAATCAGGATAATATGCAAATGGCATACCTTTTTGCCAATAATTTATTACTAACAACGGTCTACTAGACAGCTGCCTTTCCAAAATGAACACTTCAGCATTCTAGTACATTTCCTTGACACAAAAAAAATTTTTGTCTGTTAAAGGAGAAACCTCCTTCCACAGACCTTAGTTAAAAATGATAAAGCATATCAAATACGATCAATGTTTAATTATCCCTGTGTTCAAACTTTACAGATTTTTTTTGAGGTTTCTTTTTATTTTAATTGCTTAAAGAGATCACAAGAGAACACAAAGGTGCATGGAGGGAAAGGCAGTGATCAACAGTGATGTGCCTTGCACTGAAAGCATTAAGGTATCATGGTGATCCTGCCCCTCCTCTGAAAGGACCTAAGAGGATTCTTCCAGAAGCAAAGGAAGACCCTTTTTCCCAGAAAACAAGAACTGCCACTACTCCAGTGGGATTCTGGAGGAAGCATGTCCTTGTCTCAAGCAGATACATTGTCAACGGAGATGCTCAGCCTTGGGGCCACCAGTTTCCTAGTGCCTGTTCCCCAACAGTTGCATGCCTGACACAGGAGGAACAGAGAGCCCTCTGGGACACATGGCACTGGGAGCAGGATGTTTTTGTCTAACAGTTCTCCTGGACTATGGCCCATGTCTTGCACAGGTCTGAGTGGCTGTGGAAAAGAGCAGACTACTTGGAATTACTCACAGGCAGAAACTTGAGCAGCAGCCTCTCTCACACACTCATCTCAGACCCAGGAGGCAGGGAGCTATGAATACACCTACAAGGCAGTGCTGGACATAGAGCTGTACTACCTTCATCTGTGACTGTGTGACAGGCCAGACTCTTACACATCACTTTTTTCTGCAGCTGAAAGGTATATTGTCTACATGGCCTGAAACCTTGAAACCCACTGGTGTAATGGTGAGGAAAAAAAAAAAAAAAAATTGCAGTGAAATGGTATCTAACACTTCCCTTTGAAAAGGAGTATTTGCTGTGCCACAACGGAGTCCAGCAAGACAAATTCAGGATTTTGCTCAGAAGCAGCAGGAATGCAGAAGAGGGCAAGTAACCATCCAGTCTATCACCCCCACGTACAAGATTTCATCTTGCCCTTGCTGAACTCTACTGAGGTGAAAAGTTGACTGGAGAAACCTACTGGACAAACTACAGCCCTGTTCAGTGTAATGAGGTTTGACACAGTACTTGCTGGCCATGTTCTCTCCAGTTAAAGAGGCTCCTGGGATCGACACACAATTTTCTTTTAAAGATAAACATCCTCTCAACATTTGCTTTTCTTTGGAAAAATTCCTGTAAGTTTTATATCTTGAAACTGAGCTCACATAATAGAAAATCATGTATAATTCCATGTAATTAAAATCTTCCTATAAGGATAAAGCAGCTCCACCACTACACACCATCCAACCAACTCTATCATATAGTAGATTAGACGGTGTGGGTTGTCAGTCTGTGCATTACACATGGTAATTTCAGTAAAAGCAATGAGCATGGCACTTAATGAGAACACACTTTGTTCATATACACTCCCTCTCAAGTGCTTATCGCATTAATGTTTTCTCAAGTTCCATGTTTACTTGCCTCCCCAAAAAACAAAATTGAATCACCATGCATTCCCTCATGGCCAGTTTTGTAATTGCTCCACTTGATCCAAAAATCTTCTCAACTTAGTTGAGTAATATGATATCATGCTCTAATTAATAACTCCCATTTTTAACTACATACAGTGAACTCCTCTGTCAACCTGGATGAGCAATAATTCAGCGGTTTCACAATCACAGAGCAAAACTTTAATCATACAAGGGTAGAAAATTAGGAGCTGTTATGGCGATAAACAAATACTATGCTAACTTTGTTTTTAAAATAAAAACACCTGCAAAAATCAGCCTGTCTGCTTCAGCAGAGAGGGAACAATCCAGGAGGTTCCCGGAATGTGTGGAGGATAACTTCCTCACCCAGCTGGTGAGTGAGCCGACAAGGGAAGGTGCCCTCCTGGACCTGCTGCTTGTGAACAGGGAAGAGCTTGTGGGGGAGGTAAAGGTTGGAGGCCATCTAGGGTGCAGTGACCGTGAGATGGTTGAGTTTTTGATCCTTGGAGAAACAAAGAGAGGGGTTAGTAAAACTGCCACCTTAGACTTCCGCAGGGCTAACTTTGACCTGTTCAAGAGACTGATTAACAAAATCCCTTGGGAGGCTGCCTTGAAGAAATGGGAGTCCAGGAAGGCTGGACATACTTCAAGAGAGAAATCCTAAAGGCACAGGAGCAGGCTGTTCCCGTGTGCCGGAAAACAAGCAGGCAGGGAAGGAGACCGGCCTGGCTAAACAGGGACCTTTGGCTGGATCTCAAGAA